CTTAAACTTCGTTGCCACGCATGGTCACCGATTTAGATGAAACTTCACCCATGCTTAGTACTTGACACCAGAAACAAATATCAAACAAAATTTCGTTGCTATGTGTCTCGGTTGCTATGGCAACAGCCGGAAAAGTTTGAAAAATCAAGATTTTCAGCCATTTTAAATCTTGACTGTAGCTTAATAAAAACTAGAAAAAGCAAACAAACCATTCTAACAAAAACATGACACCTTGATGTCACTTATAATGTAAAGAAACTGTTTAGAATATATCTCTTAGTAAGTGGTAACCAAGGGTACATTTGAAATACATTTAAAATGCTGAAATATGCTTAAAACACTCCGTATTCACTAATGGTAGGTGTTACATGCTCAAACTCAATCAACGACTTAAGAAAAACAATGAATATGTTTGACCTAAAGTATATATGTATAAGCAATATTATTCTATGAATAACTTTTATGGTTGCCATGGTAACACAGTATAACCATGCAAAACCAGTAACTAAGATTGGGTTAATGCTACTGTCTTGAGGAAAAACATGAAAATTCAAGATTGGCAAATATGCATCCTTAGGACCTTGCAACACCAAAACCATAAGAAAAATTGGGTATAATTGCTACTTTGCAGTGTTACCATGGAAACAAAGTACCAGTGCTTAAAACTGAATTATTTTTCACTGCATTAAGAATTAAATTGCCATTTAATCAAGAAACAAATTAAAGGACTCAGCTTGAATAGTACTTATCTGTTAGAACTGAAGTTGAATGTCATATATTGATAAAATTTGATTAAGAAAACAACACTGTTGCTATGGTTACCAAGAAGGGAAAATGTTCGATTTTGTGAACTTTATATCAATATTAAACCCTATGTGCCAACTTCTTGCATCCACTTAGAGACTGGATGATAGTCAAAATTAAAAGTCAGGTTTGCAGTTAATAAATTTTAATCATAAAAGTTTTGGGAATCTACATTTAAGGGTACGTATCCAAGGAAAGAAAATATTTTTCAGGTTTTTAAGCATATATTTTCTGCTTATTTCCATAGCAACGCTCTATTTAAAGAATCTAATGTGAATTTTTTCAAATGGGAAAAATAGGAGCACACCAACATCTTTAAAAATTGATCATTAGTTATAAGGAAATGTGCTTTTTTAAAAGATAGGATCAGATTTAAACATACCGGGTGTTACTTTGAAGGCTCTCTGTGGTATAAAAACCTTGGCAACCATTGCCAACCAAAATGAAATATCATATTTTGTTCTTGGTATATGTTTCAAGGCTCTTTTTTCTATTACTCAGTATTTGGTCACATTTCATCCTATAATTGTTTTTTTATTTTTACGTGTATGACTTTATAAAATTCAATGAATATTTTTTTTACTTTTGAATACTTTGTTACCATAGTAACGTATGTGATAGTTGATTTACCAAACATGTTTATCATGCATTTGAGACATCTGACCTTCAACTTTTTGGAAACAGTCGTTGCCAATTGTTTGCTTTGCCGCAAATGTTAAATATGGGGCTCTAAACATGTTAAAAAATGCAATTTTTCGAACTTTAAGACATGTTGCCATGGTAACTATAAAACATAGCAACCAATTTTTGCCTGATTTCAGTTTAGGGTATCAATAACTTTTATCATTGAGAGTTTGGAGAAATTCTGAGACAATGCGTGCCACAGCTCCTATATAAAATTTCAAATCATTACAGAGAATGGCTCTTAAAAGTTATGAAATATTATTTGGTAAAAATTATTTTCTCTCCAAGTCGGATAATAAACCGCCTCTTATTGAAATATTCATGATCACGTGGTCTCGCATGCTCACAGCAAACAATGGTCCAATCTCGTGAATGAACCGAAAAGCATGATGGTCTACTACGTTTTTACTACAAACACGTTAGTAAGGGATTGTCAATACGTGAGCACACCCCAGAGTTGGTTGCTTTTTGTACCGAGGAATAATCACGTGCAATTCCTTTTCACTTGCAGTACAGCGCGGGGAAACTCTAAACAAACGGACCTATACAATGGAGTTGGGAAAACTTTAATTTTTATCATTGTTAATCATTTGTATGCAAATATGAGCATGGGATTAGTAGATAATAATGTATATAATGCATTAAGCGTGTAAATGCCTGGGAAAATGCATCAAGTCTTTCCGAGAGCGATTTAAAAAACTAGCCTTTTCGAAAAACACATGTAGTATTTTATGTAGTAACCCATATAAAATGCAATAAATGCAACTCATTGAGCTGACTGGTCGATTTGTCAGTCATAATGGTTCCTCACTGAACAGACGTCACAAAAAATATTTACCTCGACCTGATGATTCTCGCGATGCTTTTCCCGCGCACATGCGCAGATCCAGGATAAACGTCAGTCCTTTTAAATATGCATGAGAATATCGTGTTCTTTTCCCGATCAGTACTTTGTTAATACCGAAAAATATTTCGTCGAATTTACAAGAATGCTTCATTTTTGATAGCTTATCATACTTCAGAAATTTTTGTTCGGTTTCAGCTGTGCAAAAATACTGTTTAACACAGCATACATATCTTTAAATCATTTAACACGTTGCTTAAATGCATATGTGCAATAATTAAAGTAAATAAACATGTACCGATACATATAATATTAAAATTAGTGGGCTCACTAATTGGATCTTTGTTCCCTTAAATATTGAATGATTGTGAGTTTTATTTGAATTATTGATATCAATATCCCCCCCCCCCCCGAAAAAAAGAGTTAAAATTTTAAGCGCATTGATTGAAGTAATTAATGATATATTATTAAAGATTGTACAATATTACATTTAATAAGAAATGAAAATATCAATACTAATTATTAAAGATATGCTTGTATAATCAATTATCCTTATTTCAATTTTCATATATTTTCATTTGCAAAATTATTTTCTGGTTTTTCTAAAGTAAATAAATTTACCTAAATTTCATAATTCTTTCATCTTTTCAACATTAATAATAAGCAACTTTTTTTCTCTTGAAAATAATAAAGATTTCAAATATTTTTACGATGATTTTTTAAAAGAAGGACGTCGACAGATTTAAATAATAATGAAAAAAGAAATTGTTAATGCATGCATTTTCAAGTAATTTTAATTCTTCTATAATTTGAGTTTTTGTTGATATAGAACACCATATCATATCAACTAAACGGCAGAGGAATATATCTCTTTAGGGGGTGGGGTGAGGGACTGTGTGTGAAAAAAAAAATTACAATTTCACCTCATCCAAAAACTAATGTGTTCATGAATTTTACAAGAATTATCTGACCTATAGACATGGGGACACTTTAAATTTATATCAGTTTTTATAATTGAACATTATACATACCCTGGAACAAAGTGTGTGGAATGACTCCGTTTGAGGCAAATTATTAATTTAAAACTAGGTTCAAATACCAGTCAAAAAATTGAAAGGGTAAATTCTATAAATGATTAATTACATTGCACTTTGAAAAAACAAAAAATACAAAGATACCTATGATTAGAAGTTAAAATTTGGTCAATTAGATATGGACCCACGCGACCATCTTTGAGTTTTAAAGATGAAAATCGCAAGAAAATTTCTAGAAGGGGAAAAATCTTTCAGGGCAGTAATAAAAAAGTCAATAAGATTTTTAAAGAGATTTCTTTATTAAAACTCAAATAAAAGATGCACCCAACCGTTTTTGAATTTGAGCATAGAGGATAGCGTGGTTTGTTATCTTTATCACAAATAAGTATAATATTTTAGGTAAATGTTTTTAAACAATTCCATAAGTCCATTACTGAAAGAAAATCTGCTTTAATAAGTAAGAAATTTATCAAATATAAGGAATTTCTAATAGTGTACAATTTTTGAAGTAGATGGTTGAGAAAATCTTGTTATTTTCTTAGGTAGTTTTCATAAACTTACTTTCTGACGTAGATTATATTAAACGGTCGGTCTATTAATACAGGCTGAGAAAGATTACTGATTAAAGCTGGATCAGGTCACAATGAACAAATCAGGTCAAAGTACTTTAATATTGTGCTCCAATAATACAATCTATGGAATTCAAAAGAAGATTGTGGAATAATTTTTAATTTTTGTGAAATGGCTAAAACATGACAGGTGCATGGGAACGTCTTGGATAAAAGTCTTTTAGAAAAGTTATCAACTATAATTCAAAGCTCAGTAACGTTTTAAATCCGTAAATAATGCAGCAATTATAAAATCAATACATAGTAGACGCCCACAAAAATGATTCTACAGCAAATGAAAAGTGACAACTTTGCAGATCTATATATTTCATATTTTTAAACATACGGAGCTGCTGAACCTGTAAATATCTAATACTAGTATAAGGTGAAAACCAGTGGCCCAAGGCTTACTGAGCGTGTCTGAGACTTCATCTTCAGAGGACTCTCCTTTCATTCCGGGGAAAAATTATGACCCCTTAATTTGGCCCATAACATAAGTCCGAAAAGGACATGAATAAGTCAAATTTGAATCCAAGGGCATGGGTATTCTATATCAGTACTAATTATGCAATGCAGCCTTACAGTTTTAGAGAGGAAATTTTTTAAAGGGTTTTATCCTCTTTCCAGATTTTCCTATTCAACCCCATGTAAAATTGTTCTGCCGTTATTGGTGAAAAAATGGTCATTCTTTCAATTGCCGTTCCTCAGTTATTTAGCCTTGAAAAAGGAGCATCGTTCTTTCTTTAATAAAACTTTGAGTCTTTTCACTGAAGGATACATTCAGACAAATTTCGTTAAAATTGGCTAAATTGTTAAAAGAAAAGGTCCAAAATATTTTTTTAAGTTAACGGATGCACAGACAGAAAACTTAGATTTGAAAAACTCATAACTTGAGCGCTTAATTAGGTACAATAAAATGCTTTAGTTTATCTTTGTCTAGCGAGTTATGGTATTATTGTAATTCATTCATGTATAAAGTATTTCAGATAACTATTCCTTCAATGAATTTTGCTTTTTATCTTGCAGGTAGCAACGCGGTTTTGTTTTATACACCAAACGCGTACAGTTACCACAGAGTAAGTAGATACGGCATAACATGTGCCGGGAAAGATTACGTCACATTCAGAGTGAGGGCATGTAATGACGCTCACTTGGCACTGATGACGTATGACCGAGACAGTGGTCCGCTATACGAGATCGTCATCGGGGGGTGGGGGAACGGAAAATGCTGCATACGTAAGGGTAAACAAGGGCACTGCTACCGGGAGTACAGCGGGCGGGTTCTCAGCTGCAGCTCTTATAACTACTTCTGGGTCTCCTGGGGTGGAAACAGGATCAGGCTGGGGAGGGGCACCACGTACGGTTCGAGCACTCTCATGGATTTCCCTGACTCCTCGTACAGAGTGAACTACCTGGCTGTCAGTACTGGATGGGGTGCCACGGGATATTGGGAGTTCTCCAATCCACCAGGTAAATAAATTAAGGTTCACATTCCTTTAGCAAATGAATCAAAAATCCAATTGTTGTTCTAATATCTACATTGATTAAATGTAATATAATAGGGGAATAAGCAACCGAAAATGCATTTGGTTGTAATTCGATCAAAGTCGATTTTTTAAAATGATTCCAGCTATTAGATTCCAAACTTCAAAGGAAAATTATTTGGTAAAAAAGAAATCAATGCATTATCTGCTGCTGAAACACTGACTTGCGAGTATTTCGAAGAAACAGTCTTTTTACTTTTTTATTTCAAAATTAAAAAAAAAACTTCTTCAGTTCATGGTGGTTGGTCATCGTGGGGCGGGTACGGCTCCTGCAGTAGAAATTGCGGAAGCGGAACACAATCCAGAAGTCGAAGTTGTACAAATCCCAGACCCTCCAACGGAGGAAGATCTTGTTCCGGTTCATCGACATCATCACGAAGCTGCAATACCCACAGCTGCGCAGGTTCATATCTATATCAGTTCAAATTTTGTAAATCAAATCCAGGCATCTTTCAATATAGTCTAGGATGTATATCATGGATATGTTGATCCTTCTCGAACAGTGTATGAAAGTTTGATAATTACTGCAGTATTTATATAATACTGTCTATCCAATATGTTTTTCATCACTTTTAAAGTAATTTTCAATTTGTATGTTGTTAAAAATTTCCCAGACACGCAGATTTGCGCACGGACAATATATTGCATATACATTGAAGAATAGCCTTATTTTGATTTCATAAATAATATAATCTTTTATTGATAAATATGTACAAATATGGACGATTCACTTAAAACTTTTTAAAATATATGTATATGTAGTATGATTAAGGATTCACGGAGCACCCACCTTAAGATTTTGACTTAGTTGACGTGACAACTTTGAAATCCAAAACTGTCCAACTCAAAATTTGAAGTAATTTTCAGCAATGCAGACTTATTTTTCCCATTTGAAATTGTATTTATTAGTTTAGTGACAAGAGAAATATGTAAAAACAGTGCATAATAATATTGTCCAGACAATAGGGTGACTACCACAAACGTAAATCTTAAATGTCAATTCTTCCATCCTGTAAAAGCTATTTTAACAACCAGTATTAACAAAATATTTCAAAGGTATTTTTAAACCTAATTTTGAATTTATACATTTAATTGCCGTTCTTTAATTCGCCGTCCTTCTAAGATTTGAGTGTCTAAATAAAAGAACAATTAATTCAGCGTTGTAACTAACATATTTAATACAACGATTTCGTTATTTAAGTTAATGGCGGATGGTCATCTTGGTCCGGCTATGGATCCTGTACAAGATCTTGCGGATCCGGAACACAATCAAGAAGTCGTAGCTGCACAAACCCAAGGCCCGCTCACGGTGGAAGATCTTGTTCCGGGTCGTCTTCTTCTTCACGAAGCTGCAACACTCATAGCTGTCCAGGTACGCATTCAGTCTGTTGGCATTAGCTTGAACATATTTTTTCTGTTGTCTGCTGTACATTTGTACATACTTATACCAAGAACACATGTTTTTGTTACACGCAGTGATTCCTCGTTGACTTCAATATTTTTAACCTCAATTTTCTATTTTACGCAGCATTTTATAGTATACACAGTATATAATCATATTTTCGCCCACCATAGCCCCGGGAAAAAGGATAGGTCAAAATAGTTTCTTATATCAAAATGGACTTATCTGCTCAAACTTATTAAGGGGGTTATAAAATGTTTCAAATGTCGTATTTACACGATCTTTGTTACAAATACACACTCCAAACGATTCATGGTGCAGCTACTTGAAGATTCTAAAAGTAAATGTCAAACTCAAAATTTCAAATAATTTCAATAATGCAGACTTATTTTTCCCATCTAAAATTGTACTTATTAGTTTTAGTGACAAGGGAAATAATTTATAGGAACGATGCACAGTAAAGTTGTTCTTTTCTATCAAATTTTACTATTGAACCCTATCGGACTTTGTTGGAAAAGCGCCAAAATCCCCATTTTTTGTATTTCTACCCTAGATGACTACCACAAGAGTAAATCATCTTAAATGTCCATTCTTCCATCCCGAAAAGCTATTTTCACAAGCAGAATTTATAAATTATTATATTAAATTTAGAGGTATATTTTAAATATAATAAATGTATATAATTATAATTGTCAGCCATTAATTCCCCGTTCGTACTATGATTTTATAGTAATGTCTGTCGATAGGTTCTTTTCATCCCTTAATTTTCAATTTGTATGTTGTTAGTAAATTTTGCAGGCACGCAGATTTTTTTTGTGTGTGAACATTGAAGAATGGCCTTATTTTGATTTCATAAAATTAAAAATGTAATCTTTTATAGATAAATATGTACAAATATGGACGATTCACTTAAAACTTTTTAAAAATATAAACACTGTATATGTATTATGATTTTTCCCTCGCTGTCAAAGAATTCACGGAGCACCCACTTGAAGATTTTGACTTAATTGATGTGACAACTTGAATTCCAAAACTGTCCAACTCAAAATTTGAAGTAATTCTCAGTGATGCAGACTTATTTTCCCATATAAAATTGTTTTTATTAGTTTAGTGACAAGCAAAATATATAGAAACAGTGCATAATAATATTGTCTAGACAATAATCTGACTACCACAAACGTAAATCTTTAATGTCAATTCTTCCATCCTGAAAAAGCTATTTTCACAAGCAGTATTAATAAAATTTTATATATAATTCATAGATAAATTTAAAACTTAATAAATTGTACAAACATTTGATTGTCGTTCATTAGTTCTCTGTAACATTTAAGATTTGAATGTCTTTGACGAATAATCAATTACAAATTAAAGAACAAAGCAACGTTGTCACTTAAATGAACACAGCAATTACTATATTTAAGTTAATGGCGGATGGTCATCTTGGTCCGGCTATGGATCCTGTACAAGATCTTGCGGATCCGGAACACAATCAAGAAGTCGTAGCTGCACAAACCCAAGGCCCGCTCACGGTGGAAGATCTTGTTCCGGATCGACTTCTTCCTCACGAAGCTGCAACACTCATAACTGCCCTAGTACGTATTCAGTCTATTGTGTTTAGCTCGATCATGTTATTTTTTTCTTTTGTATACTGTAAACCTGTACAGACCTGTACCAAGAATACATGTATTCATAACAACCAATGATTCCGTGATGACTTCAACTTTATTAACTTCAACTTGCTATTTTACGCAGCATTTTATTGTATGCACAGTACATAATAACACTTTTGCCAACCATAGCTCCGGGAAAAAGGATGGATCAAAATAGTTTTTATGCCTAAATGGATCTATCTCCTCAATCCTACCGGTATTAGGGGGGTGTAAAATGTTTCAAATGGCGAAATTTAATTTTTGCACAATCTTTGTTGCAAAATTGCATACTCCGCACGATTCATGGTACAGCCACTTGAAGATTCCAAAACTTTATGTCAAACTGAAAATTTTATATGATTTTCAGTTCTACAGACTCGTTTTTCGCATTTAAAATTGTACTTATTAGTTTTATTGACAAGAGAAATAATATAATAAAACAGTGCACAATAAAATTGTCTAATCAATAAGCTGGCTACCACAAAAGTAAATTATCTTAAATGTCCATTCTTCCATCCTGAAAAAGCTATTTTCACAAGTAATTTTAACAAAATATTATATTAAATTCATATACATGTAGATTTTAAATCTAACTAGAGGTACTGTGAGCATTGAGCTCACGTGCTATGGTTAACAATTCGTTAACTATAGTTTTCAACTATATTTAACGGTTGTTAACTATAGTTTACGAATGCTAATCTAAGTTTATCTGTCTGTAATAAAACGTTAACGATAAATTTTGTCGGTAAACATAGATTCACGTCTGTAAACTATAATTTACAATCGTGAACTGTAGTTTAGAGTTGTTAATCATAGTTTCACAAATCGTGAAACAATACTTTTTAGCGTTGTACTTGAATTAGCGGAAGTTTCTTTCCGCCAAAAGCGCTAAAAAGAATACACAGCCAAATGTAATACGTTTACAGTATTTATCAGATCGTTAACTATAGTTAAGAGTTGTAAACCATAGTTTACAAATCGTGAAACTGTATTTATCAGATAATCTATGTTTTGCAGTCGCAAAGATTGTTTTCGGTGTCAAGTATAGTTTACGATTCTGAAACATAGATTATCGTTTACAACAATAAATCTAGTTTATCGACTGTGAAACTATGTTTAGCTCATTTTTGTGAATTTGGCGTGCCATAGTTAATGGTGGATGGTCATCTTGGTCCGGCTATGGATCCTGTACAAGATCTTGCGGATCAGGAACACAGTCAAGAAGTCGTAGCTGCACAAACCCAAGACCCGCTTACGGTGGAACATCTTGTTCCGGATCGACTTCTTCATCACGAAGCTGCAACACTCATAACTGCCCTAGTACGTATTCAGTCTATTGCTTTTAGCTCATATTTCTTCTGCTGACAGGTGAAAACCTGAATAAATGTACCTGTTACAAGCGATGAATCTCTGATGTTTTCAACTTTTCTAACTTCAACTTGCTATTTTACGTAGCATTCTATAGTAAAGACAGTACATAATCATATTTTCGCTAACCACAGCCCCGGGGTCGCTGTTTGCCGAAACAAATTACTAACGTAATTTCTTTTGCCAAAATGGACTTTTCTGCTCAAACTTAAGTAGGAAGTTGTAAAATGTTAGAAATGGCGTACTTTTGACACGATCATTTGTTTCAAATGAAAACGCCATATGATATCGATATGTTTTTCTCTCTTTGCCACTCTTTAGAGAGATAAAATAATCGTCTAATGCTTGTCATTTAGTACACGGCGGTTGGTCTTCTTGGTCTGGTTACGGCTCGTGTTCTAAAACATGCGGAACCGGATCTCAGTCACGAAGTCGCTCTTGCACGAACCCAGCACCTCGTTACAACGGAAATTCATGTTCCGGATCCACCACCAGTTCCAGGAATTGTAACACACACAATTGTCCAAGTAAGCACCAAAAAGCATATAGCATAGACATCTTTAGTGATGCATTAAACTAGAATGTAACATCATACATTTTATAGATCTATAGATTATGCTTTTACCTTAATGACATTTTTTGTTTAAAAATCTCTGTAGTGATTAACTAGAGGTACTGGGAGCAATAATCTCACTGAATGATACCCCGTCTCCCATATGGTTATAAAGACAAAACCCATGATTTTTACTGGGACACCCGATCGCAAAATAAGTGTCAGATCAAAAAGTAAAATAGAAGGTGCACAATGGCATTTGAAATTGTCATAAAGAATCTGTGAAAGTATCATTAAATTTTATTCAGTGGTATAGGAGGAGTTCCCTTCAATATCATCTTTTGCTCTTGGAAACCCAAATTATGTGTTCGATCAAAAGTAAAAGAGAAGGTGCACAAAGTCACTGTATGATAAAGATTCTGTGAAAGTTCCATAATTTAAGCGGTAAAAGAAGAGTTGCGGATAAGAAATGGGTGCCCCAAAATGTAGCAGACGGACGGATAGACTGGCGGATAAACGGTCGAACAGACGTCCTGATTACTTTATATTTTCCCGCTTTTTAAGCGGGAATTATAAAAAATCAATTCCTTCAAACTTTGTCCAGCTGATATCAATGGATTGTCTTGATCTTAATTTATCTTCCAGGAAAAATGATGCAATATTGCTGAGAAAAAATCTATATGATTTTTTTCAATCAATTTTGTGTATTTACTTTCCTGTATGTTTCCTACCTCTGAACATATTTTCTATGATTGTTTGTTACAATGAATCTACATCAACCGACGTAACCATTATCGTACGTATTTGCACATTTGACTCATTTTATCCACAGTTGACGGTCAGTGGTCTGCATGGTCAGGCTACGGAGCATGTTCTCTGACATGTGGTACCGGGAAACAGTCCAGAACTCGTACCTGTACCAACCCTGCCCCACAATACCTCGGAAAGGCCTGCTCGGGATCGGCAAGCAGTTCAAGAGACTGCAACACACACCACTGTCCAAGTAATGTGTTCATTTGAAATTCAAGTATGTTCTATGTAAACTTCAAAGCAGATGGAAGGAGAAGCTTATACTCTACTTTAAAATGTATTTATTTCGTGATGATATATGAAAAATCGTGACCATTTTGATTCTTGTCGTCTTTGAAGAAACAGCCCAAGAGGAATTTGTCGAACGTTAGCTAATCGCGAAAAAAATTGTAAAGAAAAATCCCATACATATTCAGAATTTTAATTCTGACAGTGAAGAAATGAAAGAGTTAGCAAAAAGATGAAACTCTGGTCGGAATTAACTGAAACATACACTTGTTTTTATTTTGACAGTTGATGGAAATTGGGCGTCTTGGGCTGCCTATCGAGCATGTACTGAGACTTGTGGGGGTGGTATTCAAACCAGATCTCGCACCTGCACTAATCCTACCCCACAGCATCTGGGTAAAGCCTGCGCAGGAATGTCATCCCATTCCCGAGCCTGCAACACCCACAACTGTCCAAGTAAGTTTGGTATCAGATGTCTGTATTATGTTATATTATATACCCCTGATTGAAAAGCGGGAGGATAAGTAGTAATCGGGATGTCCGTCAGACTGTCTAGCTGTATGTTCGTCTGTCTGTTATGCTTTGGGTCATCCATCTCTTATCCGCAACTCCTCTTATACCACTAAATGAAATTTCATGAGGCTTTTAGAGAATCTTTATTACATATTGCCATTGTGCACCCCCTAGTTTACTTTTTGATCCGACACATTTAGGTTTCCCATCTTAAAACATGGACACTGATATTGTATTCAAATGGGAGGCGGGGGTATCTTTAAGTGAGCTAATTGCTCACATTTAACCCCTAGTTGTATTTAGCAATGCTAATTTTCGAATTTTCTACATTTCAAAATTCGTCGTATAATATAATATGATAATATGGTTGTATATACGTATACCTTATGTTTAAGATAATTATCTTATTGCCTTAAAAGTATTCAAAGTCTATTAACAGAGCATATTTTATTTTTACAGTTGACGGTAAATGGGCGAATTGGGGTAACTGGGGCACCTGTACAGTTACCTGTGGAGGAGGCTCACAGTCCCGAAGCCGCACGTGCACGAACCCTGCACCACAATATAATGGGAAAGCTTGTCCAAACTCGGCTACATCGACCCAGAGCTGCAATACTCATCCATGTCCCAGTAAGTTACTAGTAGTTGTAACGTCATGAAACTGTTGTAACGTAATTAATTAAAAGTTATACATTGCCACGCAAGTAATTATTTGACTGAGTTCAGTGGGAAATGAAAACCTTTTAAGTACACTCATTTGAATTCATGAATGTTTTTGAAGTAATTATACAGACTTGTGAGTTTCTTTACAGTCGATGGCGGCTTCAGTAACTGGGGGTCCTGGGGAGTTTGTACGGTAACCTGTGGAGGGGGTACCCAGGACAGACAGAGGTCCTGTACAAACCCCGCCCCTCAGTATGGCGGGGCTCAGTGCAGCGGGGCGACCACAAGCACCCAGGACTGCAACACTCAAGTTTGTATCAGTAAGTAGAAAAAATGTAATACTTTCATCACTAAGGTATAAATACTGGGACGTCCATTTGATAGAATAAAATGTTCGTGCATTTGGCTAGTTTGATAACGGAATAATGTAAGAAGACATTAAATTTTAAACCTCTGCTTTTCACTACAGTTGACGGAAGCTGGAGTAATTGGTCCGGGTTTGGAGATTGCTCGGTGTCATGTGGAGGAGGAAAGCAATCTCGAACCCGATTTTGTACAAATCCTAAACCAGCTAACGGAGGAAAGAACTGTCCTGGAAGTGCCAGTGACTTGGCTGACTGTAACACAGCAGCCTGTCCTACCGTGGCACCAGGGACGTACCAACAAGTAATGGCATAAATTGAACAAATATGAACGCATTATTTGCCAAATATTGTAATTAGTTAACCTAATTTTCTAACTGAAGTCTTCCTCAAATGAGTTTGAACAATAATCATATTTTTTCTGTAAACTGCAACAATCCTGCAAGGGACTGTACCGGTTATACTGTGACTGCTACACAAAGGTATAGATAAAACATTTTAAATTGTTTCTATATTTATCCCTTTTAGCTATGTCCAGCCGGATGGTTTACTTGTGAATCAGGAGGAATCACGTGCATTGACAACCAGTTCCAGTGCGACTGCTCAAAGGATTGTGACGACGGAAGTGACGAAGATGTAAATTACGCTGGTTGTCAGGCGGCTCAGATGATGGAATGTCAAAGTGGAGGAGGTATTGTTTGTTGTTGTGATATATTCGTATATTGTTTATTTTAGTGTGCGAATTCTTAATTCAATTTAATAGGAACGCCACCTAATGAATGTCATCAAACAGCAGACATATTATCTTTGACAATTCTCTTCTTTCACATCTCAATATATTTTTTTCAATTCAAGAGTAAAAGCACGTTGTTTTGGTTTGTTTTAGAACATCTTCGGTTCTCCTACTTGGCTTTGGTATTTGTTCTGTTGTTTACAACGCTTGTGCAAATGATGCTGTGATTGCTTCATCTTTGACTGATTCAGCAACAGGACTCATGTACCTCAAGGAACATATTAGTTGTTTCAGAAAAATTAATAAATCCCCTAGCATATCACTCATTTATTATGTAATTCAAATCGATAAATAAATACATCTGGACCTTAACACACTATTAATTAACAAAATTTATTACATTATCCGATATGTCAGCATTTCATGTTTACAATTAAACTGCAAATTACATGAAGTTGAAAATATTGTATTTGCATAATATGAATTTTTAGGGGTTAGAAACATAATATAATTTACATTGATAACCTTTTCAGTTCAAAGTCTTGTGCATGAAATGGTGTGGGCCCTTGGCTATCAGCAGAGCACGCACATCATCACAACAAATTCGTTGCATTAACTATAAAACTGTATCACAGGCATTGATAATAAAAAGAAACGGAGATAGATTATTTTAAGAAGTTTGATGAGCTTTAATGTTTAAGTGATTGTGTTATGTTACATATACATTCTAAGAAAGCTCCTCGATCTGATTTTGGCACTAAAGAGTTTTAACAATTAGTAATTGGCAAAATAACGCAAATATCACAAACATGAAATAAAAGTAAACCCAATTCCCAAATAACATAAAAAATAAAATCAAAACCTTCTGGATGAAAACGTTACTATGATACCATGGTTTATTGCCGTTTCTTGTTGTAAAGGCTTTGAGCATGCGTTTGAAATCCCGGAAGTATGCGACTCATCAACGTCACAGCTTCCTGATTCTTCATAAATATCTCCTCCAACTTACTGACTCCGTTTTTGGCGTCTTGCAAGGATTGTCTGAAGGATTTTTCTTGTGAAGATATATCGTCTATCTTCGATGAGAGTTGATTCACTCTAAAAGGATATTACACATAAATCAGGTTGTGTATTTACATTCGTAAAGAATAAGTCATTTCTATTATATTTTCTGCAATCAGATGAAGTTTGATATTGGAATGTAAAAATCCTATCCGTACCTCTCACAGATAGCGGTCACTCGTTTATTGGAGGAGGTCTGTAGCTTGTGTTCTCTGTGTTTTAAGTATCCCTCCAGACACTCTGTTTCAAAACCGTGAAGTTTCTCCTTCTCGTTGTCTGGCAGGAATATTTCTGTAGGCAAAGATAAAGGACGACTATGTAAAATCCACAGTCTCACAATATCCATAAAAGCTATGTTAAACAATTAGATGAGGCTTAAGTACGTGAAATTATATTTATATCAAGTAAATGATATAATTCATGCCTAGAAAGTTCAAATATATAAATATCCAATTACAATTTGCCCCAAGTGTCTAGACACTTTAGGGGAAAATACAGTTCATGCAAGGTGCGAGCCTACCATCAATCCAATACTTTACCCCTTGGCCCTGTTTTCTACAGGTCTTTGTTAGCATTTTGTTTCAGTCAGTCACATACAATAATTATTGAGTATACTAGTTATTACTGTACAATTAAGATTCTAGGAACATTTCCAGTGTTCATGCAAGGAAGGATATGGAGATAACGAACAGTATTCAATCTCAACGTCCATTAAACAATATACAAAATAAGAGCAGAGCAAACACGGACCTCTGAAACATCAGAGGTGGGATCAGGTGCCATGGAGGAGTGAGCATCCCCTGCCGACCGGTCACACCCGCCGTGTGCTCGTTGTCATGATCAGGAAATAACGGAAAAAATCCGTCGTCAATTCAGTGTATAAATAATGGACTAACAATTGGTATGAAAAACTTCAGTCAGCATATGACTCAATGATAAATTGTATTTGCTGACAAGGTCATTGTATCGACCATAGAATTTACGAAATGATGACATTAAACGAGACTGTTGATATTCTTGTTTCATCAACTTGCTTGTCAATAATTTACCTCGTTTAAGAAATTGTTCATACGTAGAGCACGCTCTTGCGTATCGAATCAACTGAGATATATATACTCCGTATGCAGGTGATGAAGGTATATTGCTGCATAAGTAAGGGAAGTTGACGATAGAAAACTTAAAGTCATCACGTTTATCATATAGCTTGGTTGTTAGATTACCATTAGTGTCTTTTTCAAGTAAAATATCCAAATATGAAGCAGAAGTGTCGGACTCTGTGGTATCTTTTATCTCAAGTTCACCAGGATATATCGTATCGACGTAGGAATGGAAATTATCATTATTAATTGACAATACGTCGTCGATATATCTAAATGTCGAGTTGAAGGCCACAGCAAGTGTTTTCTTCTTTTCACGCATAAGATTTTGTATAACCCTACTCGGAATCTTTCCACTATGTACATTACATTACTTACTGAGTCCACTGTCAAGGAAATCTTCCCTTCCGTGGCATTTCCAGACGATATATTTAAAGAGTTGGTAAATCAGACTTATCACCGTCAGGGGTGGTGGCAGAAGTGAGCACAGTTTGTACTTCAGGATCAGGTTATACCGCTGGTATTTCCAAATCTCCCGAACCCGAGGGATAAACTTAATGCACGTGGCACTGAAAAAGGACAATTAAATAGTAATTACTTTGCGAAAAGATATTTTCAAGCAAGCAAATAATTTATTAAAGAACCAAAAAATTAGATTATGATGTTAATTTTGTTTTTACAATTCACGAAAACGAAATATTCAACAAAACAATATCAAGCTGATGATAAAATTAATCCAAAACTGAAAATGATACAGGGGTTAGAACACTTACTTGAACCTAGCAATCAGAAGGTTTACAAGGAGAATAAACACCACCAGGAGGAAAACAAACATGGCGAGGGGAGACACCCAGGATCCGTACGTACAACCGTCAGGGTGATTTACATGGTCAGTACAGGCTGGAATAGAAGCATAAAACTAAGGGGTAGTGAAGTGGATACAGCATTCAGGGTGATTTATAGGGTCAGTACAGCCTGAAATAGAAGCATAAAACTAAGGGATAGTGAAGTGGATACAGTCGTCAGGGAGATTTATAGGGTCAGTACAGCCTGAAATAGAAGCATTAAACTAAGAGATAGTGGGATAGGTACAATTTACCATCAGGGCGATTTACAGGGTCAGTACAGGATGAAATATAGGCATAAAACTAAGGGATAGTGGATTGAAAAAGCATTAATACATGTATTTACATGATTAACATGAAAGGGAGAGTGGATGGAAATAGTGGTGTGAGAAATTATAAACATAATAAACATGAAAGGAGAAAGAAACGTGTGGTTAGAAAGGAAAGCATAAGCATGAAAGATATATTTGAAAGGGGTGATAGTATAAAAAAAACATAAACATGAAAAGTATAGTTGAATTGGAAAAGAGAAGAAAAAAACATGAAAGGGATAGTGGAGTGACTGAAAACAGTTTTAGGAAGATTTCTATTTCGCAGCAATCTTTATAGATTGACTACACCAAGACCACGAAGAAGTCCGAGGCAGATTTTTTTTTTTTACAAAAAATGTCACACAAAAATAAAGGAGAAAAAGGTACCAAATACATCTTCTTTTATACTGTCGTGTAAGTTGAAAAAGAAAAGGAAAATCAAGATATTTATTATGTGGATTTGGAAAAGCTATGTAAACACATCGAGGAGACATCCTAAATTCACTACAGGCAGTAAGTTACGATAAGAGGACAATGTTTTAAGATAACGAAAGGATATGGGATACAAATAAATATCAAGTATTACTCAACAGTACATGTATATATTTTCATTATTTCTATGTAAATATCTATGTGAAATCAATGTATGTATTAAAATTTATTACTGTCAATCTCCTCTTTGAAAATTTCTCCATAAATCATCCAGTAGGGATAGAAAAACATGGATCGAACCATGAACCAAGACCATTCCTCATTCTGGAAGTGCACTGCTTGTCTAACGACACCAAAACAGGCCACAACAATGAAAACGATGATGGAGAAGTAACACATGTGCTTCAACTAAAATAAAAGTACATTAAATGATAACATTGAAATTGGCAAACCTCATGCTTATGTGAACATTGTTGACAACATCTGAAGTATTACTCTAACATCGACCAACCTAGCTTGGTTATATAATCATTGTTGATCGGAAATATTACATTTATTATAAATCTAAAGTAAAATTGCCAAATATTTGTTCTTCTGTTTTCATTACTGTATTTTTTAAAACAGTTGTTAGTAAATCAAAAATATTGAAAAAAAATGCCATTCACAATTGAATTTGTTTTTAAATGTTACCAATTTCCCAATTATTTTTGAGTAGGCTCCAAGGTCTTTATTAACAGACAGAATCCCCAGGATCCGTATGTAAAAGAAGACAATGTTGAGTGTATAAACTATTCGCGAGGCTCTCAATGTCGGCGAATTGAATCTTAACCCGACCCCCACAGCAAACCATACAATGGCTACCATATCCCAGATGTTCCAGTAAAAACTGGCAAACACTCGGAGCTTTATCTTCAACGGGCCAGGTACTAAGATAAAAAGCTTAAAAATGGAAAAAAAAACCTCAATTATTAAGTAATATAACTTCTATTTAATGTTAAAAAAATAAGTGCTTCATAAATGTATAAAACAAGTTTGAAATTAAACAATTGTGAAGATTTTGAATGAAATACTGTGGTTAGAGAACTGAAAAAAAATCTACTTGGAATAAGGTAAACATTGTCAAATATAATTTTAGATATATTGATACTTACCTCTCGACATTTTTCAGCAGTGAATGATAGTATATATATCATGACAAAAACTTCAGGCCATGCTGGGCGCGGCAAAGTTCTGACCAGAATGGTGTAACTGAAGGCTATCAGGAAGGCAATGTAGGTAATCTAAAAATACAAACGGAGTTGAATTAAAAATATATTAAAATATTGTTTTCTTAACTTTCAAGTTAATATGTATGACGAATTATGTTTTCAATCTTTCCTTCACATGCTTTTGAAAAATACTGAGTTAATCAAAATAAGAAACGTTTTAATATAGTAGTATCTATTTTAAAAAAAGAAAATACTGATTTATTAACATGTACCTTACATATTTTCTCTCAAAACATTGAAGTACAATAGAAATTATTTAATTAAAAGTAACTTTGTATTAAATACAGTAGCATTTACTTTATAGACTTGATCTGCAGTTTGCTGTAAAGTTTCAACATTCTAATCTACGAACTGGTTCCGGAGATATTTACCAGATAAAACCAGAACTTCGTAATTGGCGCAGTGTAAAACTTGTAGACCATTTTTCTGAATTTAAGTGGTTTCTTTAAGTGCTGTAGGATGTTACACTCTCTGTTTTTGTTTGCGATTTTCTGTAATGTCTTCAGATCCTGTCGACTTATCTTTCTCTGGTTTTCAAAATGCATACTCTGAAAGGAAATGTAATATCTCTGCGGTTAAAAGAAGTACATCTCATAAATTGCAATCTGCCGAGAGAAATAACTCTAAATTAACATGCAACGATTAAGATACCAGTGGCTCTGATAATATATATTTGGTGTTTGCTTTTATAATATGTTGATTTTTTCAGTAACAATCATTTGTGATCAATTACTATTTACTATCTCTCTCTTTTTCATTACTAATATTTCAAATCTTGCAAAAAGATTCAGTATTTTAAATGTAAGAAGGATATGGAGATAACGAACAGTATCCAATATCAAAGTCAATAAAACAATACAAACAGGAGCAGAGCAAACACGGACCTCCGAAACATCAGAGGTGGGATCAGGGCCATGGAGGAGTGAGCATCCCCCTGCCTTTAATTTCATTTTCATACAGAAAACTTGTCAATTCAGAAAAAAATCCTCAGTAAGTCAATAGAGGTAAGTTTTTCTATTAATTTTTCTAAAGAAATATAATTTAAGCCGTTGACTACAAACGAAATCATGATGACTCAACTGAAGCTTTGTATTTGCTGATCCTGGAGTTTTGTCTTAAGGACAGATGATACAAACAAAAAATGGATGCCTGGATTGGTATATATTTTCTGGTCTTATTTCATTGAAAATGATGTAAAAAAAAAAAAATTTCTAGAATATTAAGAAATCGTTAACTTTCTATGATGTTTAAAATTCTACCTCTCTGCAACCATCCTTATTAATCTATACAAATATTTTTCTCTTCAAATCTCTTAAAAAAAATTGTGAGAATTTGAATAAAAATTCAAAAACTACGCTGTTAAACTTATTCATTTTACTCGTTAAAACATGACTCAAATTGTTATTTTCAAATATTTTGACAAAAATTTGTATAATCTGTCCTTAATAAGTGTTTATTAAGTTTTTTATTGTTTCTGTGTACGGGATTTGTACAGACTGCAATTTCCTTACTTCTGCAGAAATATGCAAAGTACCTTCATCACCAAAATAGGGGGTTTATATCTAAGTTGATTCGATACGCTAGAACATGCTCTACATATGACGATTTCTAAAACGAGGTACTTTATTGACAACCAAGTTTTTAAAAACAAGAATATCAGCAGTCTCGTTAAAAGCCATTATTTTATAAGGTCTATCATGGTCGATGCAATGACCTTGTCATTAAATTAAATCTTTCATTAAGTCAAACTCTGAATGACAATTTTCATACTAATTAATAGACCTTTATTTACACACTGATTGATTGTGGACGGATTTTTTCGTTATTTCCTGATCATGACAAGGAGCACGCGGTGGATGAAATCGGTTTGTAGGGGATGGTTATACCTCCATACCTCCATGGCATCTGATCCCACCTCGGATGTTTTAGAGGCCCATGTTTGCACCTCTCCAAAATTTGTATTGTTTAATGGACTTTTGAGCTTAAATACTGTTTTATATTTTATATATATATTTCATCGAGTGTTAAATTGTCTCTTATATCCTTGCTTTTAGTTGCAAGTTTATAAATTATCTATATTTTTAACTTATTCAATGCAGCAAATATCTGTTATGATCACATTACCCATATGGAACTACAATTTAAAAAAACAAACAAACAATGAATTAAAATTAAATCGGTGTTTGTTGTTACTTACCGCAGATCGGATCATAGGAGGCCTGTTGCCAGATTTCAAAGCTTCACCCAACTTTGGTAGTGAGTTCGATGTAGGAAGAGTCTGCATGGAAGTTTCCTTTAAAAAAGAATAAACATCTTTGCTAATTAGAAGTTCCTCTTATAATTCCTTTAGACGTCGTTTGTGCGGGCACAGGATGAAGGGCATATCATTATGATGATGTAAAAAATAAAAATTGGTGGTAATTTCTGTTTGTGTCAATCTTCTATATAAATCTTTGATACACATGCAGTTAGAAGTTTCTTAAATATCTTTTCTCTATATCCTTTGTCAATCTGAGACTGTCAAATAAAATGTATGTGTTTATGATTACTTGTTCTACATGATTCCCCCTTAAGTTGTCACATGAGAGAAAGCATTAAACTCTTAAAATTGTTACCAATCATCAGCCATGATCACATTTGTACCTGCTGGATGCTATCATCATCCAAATCATCATTGTCATTCTCGTCGTTGTCATCGCTGTCGTCGCCTATCGTTTCCTCTAAATGTTCTTCTACTGTTTGAGGCAAGTGTGCCATTTCTTTCTTTGACTTGTAATCGAGCATGGAGAGAAATGGTGGGAACAGAACGCCGGCAATGACCTTTCCAATTTGAAATATGAATTAAGTTTCAGTTAAGGAAAATATCAGAAAACGCGTCTGTGATACGTATTTAAAAAAATAGTTCATTGGATGTAAACAAAAACACCAAAACTTAAACGCTCAACTTTTCATCTTCATATCTGACACTCTAGGTTTTGTTTCCAGTACAAAGTTGTCATAAACTAAGATTTTTAAAAAAAACTTGGCTTTCTTTGTCGTAAGTACACAACTTAGATAAGTAATGTTGTAAATACATATACGGTGGCAAACTTTAATTTTTTTATTGACGAGGTATCATGGAATCATTTTAATTCATGGGGGGTCAATGTTCGTTGGTAAGCAAAATTTGACCTATTCGTGGGGACGTTATTTCGTGGGTAACTCGTAAATACAATGGTTCAATGAATCAATATGTTAATAAAATAAACGTTCGTGGGGATGTAAACTCGTTGGTAAGTGTGGTCCGCGAAATCCACGAACATTGGTCCTCCGAGAACAATGATGATTCTACAGTATTTCGAGACTCACTTTGATGCTGCTGTTTTTTCTTGTTTGGAGGCCTCCCATCCAGATGTCGTTGATAAGGTTCTGACAACAGTTATGGGCCACAAAATCGTAGTGTCTAATGTCAACTGCCAAAGTTATACAGGTCGTGTTCGAAAAGTTATTCAGATCCTCTGTCAGGAGTTGCTGTGTGCAGTCTACGTTGTAGTGATAGCAATGGTCCAAAAACTCTAACGCTACCTTCATGAACTCTCTGTTAAGATTATATTTGAATTTCTAATTTAAAACCAATACTATTATTCCATGGATATGTATTCTATATTCACACGACATTTACTTGTCATTTATGCCTTACTTGTTTTTAATACATTTTTTTAAAGAAATTTTGTTCAAATAAATATATCTATGTTTATAGGTTAAGCCCCTCATACTCAGCATGGTCCATCAGCTGGCCGGAAATCCCGCTTTTCATTTCATCCCCGTCGGCCTCTTGTGCCATTTTCTGGTACAGCTTGGATGCAACTAATGCCTGTAGACAGAATTTCCCAGCGTACATACGAGGTAAAATACAGAGATTTATATGAGAAAATTACAACAAAATGAGTTTAAACCAATTTTCTACTGGGAGAAATAGGAGAATCCGTTTAAGAAGTTGGTTTTATTTCATGCATGGTATTTCTTGCAAAATATGTATGTTTTCTTCAAAATATATTGAAGTAGATTTATTATATACATTTTATTTAGATCTCTTAATCGATAAATTAGAATAACAACCTTGGCCATAGCTTCATCACCCTGCTGCCACATATACATCGCCATCTTTTGCCTGTTCATTAACACTGCCCAGAGCATGAGATCGTGAAAGGGATACCGAAATAATCGAAGTCTTCTGACGTCACGCCTCAGGGAAGGTTCTCTCATCAAATCCCTTTTACTACCGGAAGAACTCTATGAAGGAATGGTAAATAAATCTTTTAAAATATATGGAGATAACGAACAGTATACTCAAGCTTTAAATTCCATGAAAATAATGCAAATCAGAAGCAGAGAAAAACGCGGGTCTCTAAAGGGATGGGATTAGGTGTCAAGGAGGAGTTTGATATACTTACAACTCTCTTGAGGGCGGCATATTTCTGCCTGAAGTCCTTTTCAGAATAGATTGACTTGTATGCTCCACCCATTAAAAAGTCCATTACCAGGCCAATATCTGGTAGCGTGAAGCGGTAGTTTGGATATAAGTTCTGAAATACATGCAAATCGAATCTTTAATACAGAATATGTAAATCGACTTGTTTTTGCTTAAGAAATCTTTGAGTTCTTGTCTAAATTGCTTTAGTTGGCTTACCTTTCGCAAACCTTTCATGAAATAACTAACTGGGTTAAACTGGCACTGTGTCTGTTAAAGATATAGCCTTGTTAAGTAATAAACAGTAACATATTAAAGAAAAGGACATAAGTTTGGAAAAACAATATTTTGGCTTATATGAATTTATCCACTTCAGATATTCCATGTGTTTTGAACTCAGTTTTTTGTATATTTTCCTTTTAATATATATGCATATTAATCATTATTACCACATTGTATAGATCCTCCAGTCTGTTGGCAGTTAGAAAGGAATGCATACTGACACCATTCTCCAGAAGCAGCTTAACAAAATCCACCTTGTCATTTACCAAGGCCTCCATCAAAACCTCTTCCAGTGATTCATCCTTCACAAAAATTGATACACTGCATCAAATAACTTATTGGAATAACATTGAACGTAAACAATATTTTCTTTTTTCCACTCCTTGGAAATGCATCTAGTCTTCAAGATAATTTTCTATGACTTTTGTACAAACATCAATTAACAATATTTACATATCTAAAAAAAATACTAGTAATATACTTCTTTTTCTATAGAATTAGTAGAAATAAACAATGAAATGACATCCATACTGTAACTGCCTTCTCTGGATTTAAAATGTGGTCTTGGGCAAGGTCTACTCGATCCCACATCAAAGCCAGTCGCAGTTTCTCCGCGATAGTGCTGCAGGTACCTAAGAATGAATAGAAAGTATAAATTGTCTTTAAAACTGAATGTGCATTAATTCTGTAACTAATTTAAATTTTAGTGTTTTCTGTATAATTACTTATTATACCTTTCAATAGAGAAGTCAAAATACAAAGGTCTAGCTCTTGGTTTTCATCGGCAAGATTCACTATGGTGATCTACAATGCAAAAGAATCTTTATGCTTATAACAATTTGCACATCAGAAGAGTTTTATTAAGTTACTACCATTTTATGTCGAATCAGATATACCCAAATGAACTCGAAATAAATAGTGAACTGACTATATTCGATAGGGAAAATACCAAATTTTCTGAGAAGCGAGATTACATAAGCTTTTCAAACCTCACCTAGATGTTTTTATATTAATGAAGTAATATTCCTTAAAAATCGGCACATTTTAGTGTCTCCTTTTTCCGATACTCAGGAACATGGTCTCAGTTCCATCACTTTTTGAACCGAGGCATGCTACTGAAAAGTATGTTGATGTTACGGGGGGTTTGAGTCAGAATATCGTAAATGTTATGGTCGTTATAATGACATTGTTAGAAAAAATATCCTACCAGTCGGTCATATTTTTTGTCTGAAATTTTCATTCCATCTGTTATGCATTTTGTTATTAAACGGGATATTCTGTCTACTTGATCTGTATATAGGGCTCGTTTAGTGAATACCTGTATATAGGTATTATCTGTATATAGGGCTTATGTCGAATGTGACCGGATTACAGAGGATGATTACTTCTCCAAGGCACGTTATCATTTATATTTCAGTTAACTGATTTGTTTTATACTTTGTTTAAGAACGGTCTTCAATACCCACAATTAAAAACAAAACAAAAAAAACATTACCAGGTTTCTCCTCTGGACACACAGTAAAATTTCCAGGTAAAGTTCTTTGGCTTGGTCCTCTGTGCATGTGAACATATCCTGTATAGCGTCTTTTAACACTAACTTCAGATTATCTGGAAGTTTTCTGTCAAGTTAGAATAAGCATTAATTGATCTATTTTTGTATGAAGTATTGAGTATTCATAATCATTTATAAGCATCCAATTTGTTTTAGTACTGACACACAGTTTAAGGTATTTTATTGATTAATATTTGTCTATAATCATAAGAATTAATATTATGTACGCTATATACTGTGTTATTAATATGTACATCATTGTACACCAGAAATTTATTCAGGCCAACTTATCAGTGTTTAATTTTTTATAAACAACTGTGGTCAGAAAGAAATTAAAGAAGTGACGATTTTGAACACTTTTTGAAGCCATACAGAATTAAGCTTTACAATATTTCAGCAACTTGAAGAATTTATTCATACAATGCTTTAAGCAATCACAAAGATTTCATTTTAATGTGTTACCAAGTCTTATGACCTACCCATCTTTCTTTGTATTTTGATATGCAAATGAGATTAGATCGGCGGCACGCCCACTTCCAGCGCAAACAACAACTGGAATGGGAGGCGAGTCTGTAACATATTCTAACACAACTCGAATCGTGTTCATACCTCCTTCCACCACCACACAAACCATGGGAATGTTGATACCTAATTATTTATATAATTATTGATTATTTTACTTCATTTAGGAGGTTGAATAAGCCAATTTCACGAAATAAAAGCCAAACGGCACTTCATTCAATCATTTATTAATGTCCAGTAATTTAGCGCATGAAATTGGTCAGTAATTAACTGAAATAGATAAGAGTAAATCGACAGTTTTGTCGTTTATTCCCCTACCTTTTGAAGATTTTTGTTGATTTAAATATCGTTCTATTCTCCTGCGAAAGATTACTTCTGCTCCAAACTCCCCGTCTGTCCCATTATCTGCCAAAAGGAAGTAGGAATGGTTGCTGTCGAGTGCTGATTGGCCAGAAGATGCAGTCACGTGATGAGATTGACAAATAATCTAAAAAAAAATGCATAAAAAGTGTTTCAACGTGTTTATGTTTATTTTTCCCAACTTATCTCTTTATCTGTACCTGTTTGGGAAAACTTTGATTTTTTTAATGTCTTTATTGAACTGTACATTTTTTCCAACAAGGTGTTCTTTGTTTGAAATAACTCCCCAAGGTGCCACTCCTATGGTAACCAATTTTCGTCTGGCCTGTTTGGATCGTCTTTCGCCAACAGCTGCTCCTACATGTCTTGTTACACCTAAATTGTAGATTATAACCCGAATATTCAATGCTCTTGCTCTCGAAGAGTATATATAAATTCATAAATAAAACATTCTCCGGAGTTTCAATGTATCAGCTCTTTACCTGTCCGAATTCCTGTGGTGAAAATCCAGGCACCCGTTGTCTTTGCAAATTTTGCAACCCCTTTCCGAAAAGAGCGTTTCATTTTTGGCGTGAGATCAAAATTAGCAATACCACCATGCACGGTTATGATAAGCTTAGGTAGGTCTAAGCCCCACTGCTTTTGCAGAAGTTTTAAAACGTTTTCTGTTTTTGTGTCCAGTGCTGACATTCGCACATACTGAAAAATATTGGAGGAAAGATAAATGTAAATAACACGAACATAATATAAAACATATTTTTAAAAAAAATCAACACAAGTGAAAAACATTCGATGCGTTCCGCTTTTCAAATAGCTCTGACTTGCAAATCAAGTCTTATTTGAAATACAATATTTCTCTTTCCATTTTGTCTCATCCAAAATAAATGTGTTCTGGGTTTAAAATATACCAAAAAGGTTTCCATAATAAATATGGTGTTCAAAAATTAATATTGTTATAGAAACCATTTAGCTTTTAAAACACAATTTGTCGTACGTTCAATAAAAAGGTTTTGGCATTTCATGATATTGTGTTGTTTTTTTTTTTAGTCAATTCACGTATGATATTTCTCCTGATCTCAAACTTTGCCTAAACTATAATAGATAGTTTCTCAGTCATACCTGTGCTTTTATGGGGAACCCTGCACTTTGGAACTCAATGGTTCCAAAGGCGTCTGTTGGTAGGGGTGTCGTGTGTAGACCAGGCACCCAGCGGTCGCTGAGAGACGATTCCTCTATAGTGTCCTCCCCATGCCGGAGGACGGAGCGACCACAACAACATCTGTGAGTACAAATTGAAAATGCTAGAGAATTCCTGCAACACATACTCAATGAAAGTTCATTAGTGATTTGTCTGCCTGTAGGAAATATAAAGAACAGTAACCAGCCCAGAAGTCAATTGAAATGATGTATAATGGCAGCAGAACAAAGGAGGATGTTAAAGAAAGGGGTGTTAAGAAATTTCGTTCAAGCATGAAATATTTTCAAAAATTTCAAAGTAGTGCTTAACAAAAGGTATGAATTTTCAAGTCTGACAAAATCAAAAGAGTGTGCTTTAGATTTATAGCAATTCATTTCTTGTAGGAAATTAAAGAATTTTTCTTCCATATGAAAATACATATAACATCTTTAAAGCACCCAGATGATAGAAATGCTGGTCATTTTGGATGAAAATAAAGCATGGTTTATCTTCCTTTCTTCATAGCTTATCTTGCATCAGACAAGCTGATAAGCTTATTTAAAAGAACGATAGATCACTTTTCAAAAGAACAGATGTTTTATTTTGAAATTTTTTACAGATTTGGTAATTTTTGCATAGCATTTGAAAGGATGTTTTGACCTGTGTACTCAATATATGTCACAAATATGCATCATCTCTAATTTTTTTGACCATACTTCATTTGTTTTAATACCTGCCCTCCCCATATTGATTCAACAACAGACAATTAAAACCTTATCAGTATCAAGAATGGACTCTGTAAACATGAAATAACACAAATTGTAAATATCTTCTCATTGCATTTCTTTTCAAAAATAAAGGAAAATGTGGAACGAACTTTCTTAACACTCTTTATAAAACAATCAGAGGTGGGATCATGTGCCATGGGGGATTAAGTATCCTATGTCGACCTAATATCGAATGTAAATATTGAAATGAATATTCTGTTTTGCTAATATCTTTGTATAAATGTTGCCGATAAATCTATATGTTAAATTGAAGGCAACAACAACAGGTATGTTCTTTTCATATGGAAGATTCTGAATAAATTTTTCTTCATATAAAAAGGTCTGCTAATAACAAATAGTATCCATGCAAATTTTAATAGATTGTTAGAGGACTTTATCTCTCAAAACTACGTAAATACATGTATTTTCCATAAAAAACACAAACATATTTTGAACGTTATCTTGGAGCACTAGCGTGAATAATCAGAATATCTTTTTTTATGGTGTTGCAAATGACCATTGATAAAGTAAGTTTAACGAATTCCATTTCTATTTTTAAAAAACAGTTTTCTATTATAAAAGGACTGGAATTTAATTTATTATTGGGAATGGTTAGAAAAAGTGTTGAAAAGTCTTGTGTTTTGGTGATTTTGACTTGGCAAATGTTATATCAAATTTTCTAAAAGTTCCTTGAAGTTTCTAAAGAACCACGTCTGGTTTACACCATTTATCGAATACATTGTTGCACATTACTCCTGAAGTTTCTCAGCACTGCTGTAACTATTTTTGGGGAGTAAAGAAAATGGCTTGGTAGAAAATAAATTTACTAGAATCCGCTTTGTAAATGTTTGAAAGGATTTTTATGTAGTTAAAGAATCCTGTATAGGTATTTCAAAGTTGTAAATATTAAAAAGTTAAAAATGATCTTGTAGAACTTCCTACTTAGAAAGAGGCTAATGAATAAAACTTGGATTACGACTTGCCAAACTGAATCTTAGTTTATCTAAATACCCATCAAAATGAGCCTTACATGCTTTGCGTGTTATGTTTTTGCATGAGTTATAGTAAATTTGTAAATATGTATTTTGTCTCCTATAGGCAATTTGATATTTCAAAAGAAAATAATTCAACATTTTAGCATTAATTGGTCTTAAAAATCCAAACAAATGGTAATTACACGGATTAACCCTTTGACCACAATGTTATTTTATTTTACCTCTTGTTTGGTAAATTATAAGATTATACCTTTCGGGGTCCTGTGGATCAGCTATAAATGTGACGCACTCTCTCTTGTAAAAAGTTCTCTCTATCCAAGACGTCTCCTTCTGTAAATCAGATGGAAAGTTTAGATGTCATTTATTTTAATACATTTTAGTTATTTGTATGGCACGTACTCTATCTCTCTCGAGGAACATTTATATTTTTTCTTCAGATACTTGACGTAACATATTTTCTTTTAAAAAATAATAACCCCATGTCTAACATATATTAGATATGGGGTTAATATTTTATTTTTATAAGAAAAATATATCACGTGAAGTAACTGTGCTTGCAATGTATTTTTACAAAGTGTGCGATCTGCAGGTACTTCTTTTGGATTGGGGAGGGAGATGTACCGGTTACTAGTATATTTCTACAGTAACATTGGTGTTTTGTCATTTATAATTAGTATTACCTATTACCACACTAATATATTACATTTTTCCTTCCCGTCTCAAAATTCAATTAAACGACTGTGTATGACATACATGTAAGTAATTGCCAGCAATAACCGTCTAATACAAATGATGTGTCGCTATGTTTAACACAGTCGTCAACACTGACAACAGCCTCCGGTCTCCGTAAAAATTACCATGATACATTTACATGTACCATATTAACTTGTTGTATTTAATCCAAAACATGCACGTTTATTAGCCAAAAATGCGTCTCAAATTGTTCACAATTAAAAATTCATTTATTCAAACGATACACACGTTTTTAAATTTATTTAAAGTTCCATTCGGTAGAAATAAATATCTATAAAATTTATTTTTAGTGTCTTAAATTAATTTACAAAATTCTTTTATCAATTTTCAAAGAATGTTACGTTTTTCTTTTGATGTATGGAAACTCCCGATTATGAATTCTTAATTATATTGCTGTGATTATGGAAATGAATATTGCACGCCAACAAAAGTAAAACGATGTATTTGCGAAATAATTATGACACAACTTGCACCGAATTGACAAATGTGCTTGCATATCAAAACTGAACATAAAAGTACTAGGTATATAAAGTACAGAACTTCTACAGAAAATCAACTTTCGTTCCCCTTGTTATTGAAGAGTGGAACTCATTACCTCTTAATGTAAGAAATTCTCCCTCGTTATCTATTTTTAAAAAGTCTATTTCTTTCAAGAAACAAATGCCACCTTCTTACTTCAGTTATGGAAATCGACGCTTAAATATAATACACACGAGGCTTAGACATAACTGTGTGCTTAATAGCGATCTTTTTCGATGTAATGTAATCTTGAGTCCACTATGTTCTTGTGGAGGAGTGGAGGATTCTCATCATTATTTTTTCTCATGCAAAAAATATACAGAAGCCAGGAAAGAATTTTTTGACAAATTTTTGCGAATGGGTAAATTACATACTGTCGATACTTACACCTTACTCTGGGGAGACAAATCGTTAAATGATTTTGAAAATGAATACCTATTCTCTATTGTACAAACTTTCATAAAAAAGTCAGGACGATTTGGTTGATATAATAATTATTTCTAACTGTAAATCTTATACAGCATGTCTATTACATATGAAATGTATTCTATTGAATGTGTTTTACTCTGATTATTATACATTATTATTATAATATTATTATTATTGTTATTTGATATTAAGCTGAAACCCATGTATGTAAATATGTTTTGGTATAATTTATATGTAGGGAACGGGCGTAATAAGTTTTTAGAACTTTTGCCCAATCCCATTTGTATAGTATAATCAATAAAATATGTTCAAATCAAAGTACAGGATAAATCAATTAAAAAATCTACATAATTAATAAAAATTTTTACATTGTATTGAATGTTGCACTGATTAAAAATATTTTTTTTCTTATTTAAACTAATTAGAATAAAAAATATTCTAAAGACACAACAGTAATTTTAATGAAGTAAAAAGCTTCTGTTTATCCCAAGGTAATAAACTGACAGCTAACTTTATTTTTCGGCGTTGTTAGCAGACAGACACAGGGCCCGTGACACCTGACAGGTAGAGGGACGCCTGCTTGGTTAACCACCTCTCCGTATGGCGGAGAAATCTTTTATTTTTTCATACGCAAATTGAATTTGAAAACGATTCTGAATTTTGATTATTTTATTTTTTATTTCCAGTTAATTTTTTAAACACCTGTATAATTGCTGAGCATGCTGTCGACTTTAAGCAGCGAATAAGTTGAAATATTGTTTTTTTTTAAATGATTCATAATTATATGAACTACTGAAATCAAAGGATAATGCGTTTTTAAAAAAAGAAAATCGATGCAAAAAATAATACAATTCCAAGAAGAGGAACTTTAAAAGTTCGTATGAATTTTAACACTATACCTTTTCGACAGAAATGACACTTTCCCGGATATTTCTTAATCCATCAAAGAAAGAAGTAAAACTTATTGTGCTTGGTGATAAAGCAATAGAGCCACGAGAGGCGCTTGAAGATTGCTCAATAGAGCCAACAGAGGCGCCAGGACACGGTTCCAAACTTACTGCTGGGCTTAAGTCTTTCATACGCAACATTTTTTTTTTATCAATAAATCCAAAACTATTCTTCTTCCATAGCAAGTATTACCTTGCGAATAAAATTCAAAGAGTAGAAATATATTTTCAATCACTCGACGTATGAAAATTTCATTAAATTTTTACGTTAAATCCATTGTATGTTTTTTCATTCTTGAAAGTGCTGTGGAAAACTGTTCCAAATTTAGACACAGACAGATACGTATACACCGTATACAAGCGGATCTTTGTCTTAATGCTTTATTGTGAAGGAAATTGTCTGACAGGGCCGACCGTGCAGGAACACATGTCAATCAAACTCTCATGTCCCAACATCTAATGACTCGCTGGGTAATTAACTAAGAAGAAGAAAACCTTGACTATTTTTTTTTCAAGTGTTATATATATTTATCAATCTATTCTTAATTTGACTTTTAAAATGATCTTTACAATAGTTGAAATAATTAGGTAATTTGGAAAATACTTGTAAGCAAACGTAACGGTTTCTGGAAAAAAGAACCACTGCCTAAGGAGGATCAAACGTACGTTGGCCTACAAGAGTGAGGGGGAGAGTCTTAAATTTGAATAAATTGTAGAAAAAAGGACGACTGAACAAAATAAACAAGAAGTCGTGGTTTAAAGGTCGTCTTATACAAGATACAACTCGTGCAATATCTTTTATCATCTTATAATCATAATAAATTGATAAAAATATCTGCAAAGAACTGCGAATGATAACATTGTTCTCCAGCCTACCTCCAAGTCAATTTTCAAAAGTTAACATATTCGATGAAAATTTGATATTTTTATAGATAATTATACGGATTTTTATAAAACAATAATTATTTGGGGAAAAAAGAGAGACAACTCTAAAATTTTAGCAAAACTTGTGTGTTTTACTATAGAAATCAACGGAAAATATTTTTAAAACATCTCCCCCCTCCCCCCCCCCCCCCCCGTGTCATAAAAATTCCTTTTTACAGGTAATATGGATTGTTATTTCACAAATTCATACCAAAGCTTTTTGTATGATACAGGGGGGGGGGGGGCATATGTTTATTGACCAAAAAATGACAATATGCTTATTTTCCCCCAATTCCAAAGCGATTTACAACATTATATTTTATTAATATATTTATGTATTATTTATTTGTCTAAAACAAAAGAAAAGATATAAGGAACATTTAATCATATCCAAGACTATTTCAAAATATGGTGATGCCTGAAAGTCCGATTTCAATGGAAAATTTCGTATACCCCCCTTTTTTTTCAAGAGCTAGAGGTATGGCTAATTTACTTTTTAGCGCTGGTATTATGATAATTCTTCAATTTCCAATAAACTGTTCTTTGTATTAAACAAAGAATATAATGATAAATTGCCATAAATATCGAATTAAATGGTTGCAAAATGTAGGAATGCATGAAAATTTAGCGTGCGTATTTCTTTCACTCTGCCACAGTATATAATCATTTCTTAACTGAAAAGAATTTTGAATTTACTTTTCCTAACGAAACTTAACATTTCCTGATGTCAATTCAGCTGTTTGATATAGGGAGTCTTTGAAGTTCACTTTTCAAAATATTTAATCAGATTTTTTTTAAAAAAAAAAAGAGAGATATAGAGAGCATTCTCATTACGGTCCATCTTAGGTTCACAGGAACTATTCAATATATATATCTATATATATTCTAAGTTCCTAGGCAAGTTTTTGCTTTACACCGCTCTTATATTGAATTATTTTCACACTATAATCTAATACGTACACAGGATAAAAAAATAGCAAAACAATTTTTTTCACTTAATTTATTTTATTGAAGCGCTTTAACACAATAGGCACCCTAGAATTAAAAATTCACAACGTTAAATACTGCACTATTCTCCAATCAAACGAATTCACAGCAAGACAACCGTTCCTCAAAGAGTTCACACTATTTGAGAAAAAATTCTTTTATTGGATATTTTTCCATGTGGAGACTAGTCATCCTCTAGTTCTGCTATATTTCCATCGAGAGAAGGTGGAAAACAACGGTTATTCGATACACTACACAAGAAATGAATGGTAAAGAATCAGTAAACTAGAGTGAAATTAATCGCCTTATCAAAGCTTCTGTAAAACGTTTTAAGAATCTAAAAATATGCACTGAAATTTGTGATATTTACAGCAACCAATATCTGTTTTACAGACGCATGAGCAGGTGGATTTCAATGAACAATAATGATATAATGGGCATCAGAAATGGGAACCGTACTTGGCGACAAGGACTTGCAGCAACAAATGTTATGTTTGCCAAAATTCAACAAATAATCACTGACTTATGATGTTTGATTGAATTTAAGACACATAGCAAATTTGATATCAATTTGAAGGCAATTCACACTATTTTAAAGAAACATTTGACAGTTAAAAAAACTTAGAACTCAATGGTCACCATATGTTTTGAAAAATGAGAGAAAACGACTGCGAGTAAGAATATCTGAACAATTATTCTAAAAAATCAAAAATTGTAGTTATCCACATTTGCCTGAAATTCAAACTGATAATGAAACTTGAATCCATTGCTTTAAACCCTCAAAACAGATTTACAATAAAACGCACTTGAAAAAAACCAACAAAGGTCTGAAGGAGAAGAGGAGTGCAAGAGAACAAAGACATTTTTCGTAAATATTAAAATATATTCACCCTTTAACTGGGTTCATTTTCCAAGTCACCTATTAGAAAGAAGAAACAAGCCAGGAAATCATAAGATCTGCCATATTCCAGTATACGAAATGCCATACTCAGAAATGACTTCGAAACACAATCAAACATTGGATAAAAATGTTAAGGACGTGTGTTTTAAATAAAAGAGAATACTTAAGTTAAAATCATTATGATAAAATCATGGAAAAGTGTCTTTTGTTTCTTTCTGAGCATCAAGGACATTATTTATTGAACAGCCCTCGTAATTTTTCCAATCCAAAAAAAAAAAAAGAAAGAATTATGGTAGGGTTTTTTTTTTTCTTTTTTTTTTTTTTTTTTTTTTTTTTTTTTTTTGCTTGTCAAGAAATTGGTAGTTGATATGTGGCCTAAAAGTAGCCAAAACTGAAAATGTATAGTTGTCCACCTTGCATCTGAATTTTTTTCATTCTGGGAGGGCTGTACTAACTCGTTAAACCCTATATCCTGCTACAAAGTCTGTAAATAATCCACGTGACTTTGACTTTCTTCATTTTCAATAGAATTTTTTTCAATCTTCCTCTAAGTTCATTTTATTCAATTGCATATTCAAAGAAACTTACATCAAGAAGGATATGGAGATAACGAACAGTATTCAATCTCAAAGTCCATAAAACAATACAAAATAGGAGCAGAGAAAATAAGGACCTCCGAAACATCTGAGGTGGGATCAGGTGTCATGGAGGAGTGAGCATCCCCTGTTGACCGCATTTTTTTAAAGAAAATATTTTATCAATTAATTTGTAATTAATATATACGATTTCTCAAAGGCGTATGCAATATGAGAGACTTAACAAGAATACAAGATATCTCTATTCATTACGTTGTCATCTAGCAAAAGGTCGCACTGGATTGTAGACCTTGTATGTTTGGATGCACTGACTGAGGACGACAAGTCCAAATAAGTCGCATGACAAACAAGATGACTTGAGCTGTTCCATCGTTAAGGGTGTGACCTCGTGTGACTGGTTAGCAGTAGAGGCCTACACAAATTCTTACCCGCCAGGACATGTATACGATGGCTGTATGATAAATAATGTCCTGTGTGCTTGGAAAGAGAAAAAAAAATGCTTTTCAATAGTTGAACTTTGATGTTATCGCTAAAATATTCTCTCTTCATTAAGACATATGTCCATAACATTTTTTATCCAATTTCTAATTGTATTTAGAATACGTTTTTGATTATGGCCCTTCGTATACTGGAATATGGCAGATCCTTTAATTTTTCTTGACTTGTTTCTTCTTTTCGAAAGGTGTTTGTTCAAGTTTGGAAAATGAAACGAGTCAAAGGTTGAAATATCTGGCGAATATTGTTGGTATGACAAAACATTAACTTTATGTTTATCCCCATTACTACATGTACTTTACTCTTCAGACGCTGTCATGAAGAAATTTAATGTAGTGGATTACTGATTCTGTTTCCATCCTCTCATAAACCTTTCAATTTGGGATAAAAATCTGCTTTCTGGACTTCTCCAGAAATTGAACTTACCTCCCTGAATAAGAATTTGAACAACAAAACCACTAATATTCAAGAAAATGGCATATAAAACTTTGCAATTTTGTGCTCTTTTCAGACCATTGCTGTTTTTGTCAAGTGCATTTTATTGTTGATTTGTTTTGAAGGTTTAAAGCAATGAATTTAAGTTTCACAATTTGTTTGAATTTCAGACAAACGTGGATAACTTCATTTTTTATATTTCTTTTAAATAATTGTGTAGATATTCTTACACGCTGTCGTTTTCACTTTCTTTCAAAACATAGGATGACCATTGAGTACCACGTTTTTGTTTTGTTTTTTTATGACTGTCAAATGTTTTTTTTAACAGTGTAAACTACCCCCCTCCCCAATGATCCTTATTAATTTTGCTATGTGTCTTACAGTCGATCAATTAAACATCATCAGTGATAATTTGTTGAATTTTGGCGAACAATACAATGGATGTTGTAAGTTTTCGTCGCCACGGACGTTGCTCATTTTGATGCCCTTTATATCATTTTTTTTTTCATGAGATTCCACCTGCTCATGTGTCTTTACAACAGACATTGGTTGATGTAAATTTCACATATTGCAGTGAATATTTCTTTGGGATTCTTCATGACTTTTACAGCAGCTTTCATGAAGCGTTTAATTTCACTCTAGTTTACTGATTCGTTACCATTCATTTTAAATGCAGTGTCTCGAATATTCCTTGTTTTCCAGCTTCTCAAAAAAAAAAAAACTGTGATGAAAAGTGGTCAGATAAACTGTAATCAATGCATTAAAGATTCAAATATAAGAGAAAGTCAAGCTTAATGTCATATGATTTCTATATTGTATGCCATATTGTTCAGGACATTATTTATTGAACAACCCTCGTAACTCAGCATTTTCTTCACCACGAAATAAAATCCCGACGAAGCTTTTTTTTTATTCAACTACAAAATTTGACCCCACAAAAATTGCGTAATCATAAAAAATACTGTATGATTTTACAGTATATAAACAATGCTAAAGCTATGACCATTTGGCAGAAAGACACAGAAAATGAGAGTGAAGACCTTGTATTTCACAGTAAGAAAATTTAAAATTGAATTAACTCAAATCAAGGTAAGATTTTATTTTGAAGTCCTAAGAGTATAACACAAATCTGATACAGTAGAGAAATCCTATCATATGCTGAATAAAGCTTTACATTTTGATCTAACCTTGTCCCATTTTGAACCAATGAAAATTGCTGTGCATGAGCAAGTTTCTAGTGTAAACCAATACTTGGGTATTCCGAATATAATTCTTTAGGCTTCTTGGAATTGAGGTCTAGACCCATAAAAAGGAAGTATGAAATACATTATAATACAGTCTAGTATTAAGTTTCGTAATTAGAACCCATAAAACAACAATTTCTTAAAACTGTCTGGAATTACCCCCAGCCTTACTTACATGCAATAACTGAATTAATATGTATTAAACATCAGTTTAACATAGTTATATTAGATTTCATGTCCTGCTGCTCGTTTATACGTGTAAAGAATATGGTAAAATCAAGAAATATATAAACACCTGAATTACCAGTATACATTCCTGTTTCATTTATGTCTACTTACTCGCATGGTTAAAAGGGTGTTAAACAATTACGGAAATACATATCTTCAAAAACGTTTTTCGACAAGTTATTTTATTTATTTTTAATAACAATCAACGAGGTACTGCTAGCTCACTAAACTCACTAAACTCATTAAATGATACCCTCACGTTAAATTTTCAGTATATGATTATAATGGCATAGTTCGGGTTTTGCCCTGGGAGACCCGAAATAGTTGTCAGATCAAAATTTAAAATTGGAGGTATGTAAATGCATTAGCTTACATAACAAAGAATTATGATAAACGTATGATTTCATATGTCCCTTATTTAATGTAACAATCTTCCCTTCTATCCTGCATGTGGGTTTGTTGTCTCCCGGTTGATTCTAACACGAGAGCATGCTCTACGTACAAAAATCATTTTTATAATGTTTATAATCAAAAGAACTAGAATAAAGTTTTAAGTTTAAATAATGTTTCCATTAAAATTTGCAGAATTTTTAAGCATGCAAGTGGAGTGGAAAAAAATAAAGAAGCAGGTCCTGTAATTCCAGCACACTGTGTAAGATTTTACCAACAATAAAATCCATGGAACATAGTGATTTTTAATCTAATATCTAATTCATAAAGCAGATTCATCCGGGTATAACAATGCCTATGCCAAATTAACACCCCTATTAACCTGGCTTTTTCTTACTATCCCTCTTTAAGCATTTAAATTTAGGAACATGCGTCAGATATGTTAATAAAAAAAACACTACTAGTATTTAATACACTATTAATAGTGAACATACCCAGAATGCGGAAGTTTGAAATATGATATGCATTGCATTAACTGGATACAATTTAAACAAGTATCTAAATTTTATAAAACTCTCCGGTACAACAATACAATGTAGTCCTGATCTTAATAAAATTAATGCATTTTGCCTAAAATTATCAGCTCAAGCATACGCATAAAATTAGCTGTAATAATCTGAGCATTTGTTAAATGGAGGGAAATACTGAATCTGTGCCAAAATAGTTAAAATCAAAAAGAATCGCACAAATAGCATGCATTGTAAGGTATAATGAAAGACAGAAAAGTTTAAAGAGAACTACAACTTTAGGATTAAAAAAATAGAAAGTATAACTTTTTTTATTAATTTTTTTTTTTCATTAAAAGACAACAAAATCTTTAATTTTCGGCACTCTAGAACAGTTTTTCGAAATAAAAGATTGTTTATACAAGTTAAATTTTATGGGTTACATCCTTAGATACGATTACCATAAGAAGTGTCAAATACGGAAATACCCTCTTTATCAAAGCAACAAATATTTTGTAGTCATAGAAAGCATAACATCCTTGTAAATATATATCTAAGATCCGGTATGTCATACAAAAAGTAAAACAAACCTTCGCTGAAATATAAGTGAACTGCTAAATTATCAAGAACATGAATAAGGCATGATCATATTTAAACATTTCTATCGAAGCCCGTAAATATATCTGCCCAAGTTTTCTAACCACGCTATACATTATGACGTTTTCTACAAACCAAAAACTTGATTTGGATACTTCAAAAATACACTTCCTAGGTAAATATATCTTAGGCATTTGATACTTGAATATTTAAAATTGTGTTTAACTTATAAAAGCTTATAATGTGTTATTGCATTCAAAAATTAATTATCTTCTGTGTATGTTACATTAAAGTTTAGGAGTGGTATTAAAGCAAAATTATTCATTTTATGATTGATTGATTGATTGATTGTATGTTGTTCTACGTCCCATTCGAGAATATTTCATTTAGAAAGGTCACGTGATATCGGTGAAGATTTTGAAATTTTGACCTTTACTCAGCATTCAGGTCATTGAGCAGTTAGGTATCTTTGTCGTGTCAACACCTGTCGTAACACAGGGCCGCGGTTTTCAAGGTCTCATCCGAAGGACCCACAACTCTCAATTCAACTGAAAAGATTTTTGTTCGTTTTTTTTTTATTTCGTTTTTATTCTGATTTGTGAAAAAGACTTTTTTCTTTTACTTGTTATAAAGTTTTCATTATTGGGAAGCTATTGTAATCACGATTTAAAGGGGCATGGACACAGTTTCAACTGAATTTTTAAAACCAATTTTAATGTTTACAATTCCTTCCTAAGGCATTATCTATTGATTAGCAAAAATTTGAAGATCACTTGTTGATTAACAAACACGATATAAAACATAAAGTTCTTCATAATGTAAACAAGGCTCGTGCCTTGTTTTTGTTTACATATAGAAAATATCATATTTATAACAAAATGAAATTCAGCAGATCAATAGTAACTGTCGAATCGTATTTAAAATTAACTTTTATTTGAAATCATCTACTTTGAACGAATATATATTAGTATATTAACCTGTGTAAACAAAAACATGACATACACCTTGTTTACATAACAAAGGTTTGGAGCTCTAAATATGTCTTGAATCTGGACAACTGACGTTCAAATTTTTGATGATCATTAGAAAGACCCTAGATAAATTTTTATAAAAATGGAAAAATAAATTTTGAAATTTTAGCTGAAACTGTGTCCGTGCCCCTTTAAAGGTGCATGGACACAGATTTGAAGTTAATATTTTCTGTGTAATATTACGACTTATATTTTATTAGCATTTTACACAAAAATAAATCAAAAATCTTATTTCATCTAAAAGTTATTGAAACTTAAAATTTTTGGGTGGGTTTGTTTGACACATCCTTGACTCTCACAAATTTTATTTTTATTCTTAATACTTAGGAAAAGTGGCGATCTTGTTGTGTATTAATGATAAATATTAAAACTTTAATCCAGAAATATAATTATATTCAGAGTAGAAATGTTAGAAAGCAAAACTCCGTCACAAGTATCGGCATTACGAGCTAAGTGTTGTGTACAGAGTTTAGCAAATTGATCACACCCGTGAATTGTACACAGTTTTTGTAAACAGGGCACGAGCTCTGTTATTGTTGATGTTTACGATCCACCGGGTGCGTTCAATCGTTAAAGTCTGTTCACCACAACTGCACGGACTGACAATATACCACGTGTGTTTTGCTTTCCAACATTTCTCTGAATTTTTTTGATTATAGTTCTCATTTATCATTTATACACAGCAAGATTGCCACTTTTCCTAAGTATTAAGAATAACATTAAAATTTGTGAAAGAGCAAGGATGTGTCAATCAAACCCGTCTAAAAATTTGAAGTTATAATAACTTTTAAATGAAATAAGATTTTAAATTTATTTTTGTGTAAAATGTTATTAAAATATATAAGTCGTAATATCATACAGAAAATATTAATTTCAAATCTGTGTCCATGCACCTTTGAGAAACAAACGAGTATTCGGCAAACCTAGTGCATATTGAGCTAAAACTGCAGAAAAAGATGCAATGTTGTAAAATTAATGTAGCAATTAATTACTTATTTACATCTTACTACTGGTAAACGTTCGATAATGTACTTGACTTGTTATCAGTAAACAAAAAAATTATCTTCCATACAGTTAGGCTGTCATGATGTTTCACAGTTGCTTGGACATTTTACTAAGAAATGATGTCAATGTCAACTAAACAACAACACTTTATAATAAACGCGATGATTTCAGTTTTTTCATCGTCTACCTCCCTTATCTTAACAGTGATATTTCTGCTCTAGCCTGCATTTATTGTATATGTTTCTAAACTTATTCGATACTCAGGAGCATGCTTTTACACCGACGCAGGCTACTCACACATAAGCTGATGTTACATAGATTTTAACAATATAGTTTAAAGTAAGCATTTCATAATTTCCTTAGTCGGTTTTAAGTATTACGATTTACAAGACATGGGAAAATCATAATCGAGTAACTATTATCGATTATAATAATTACTGTTTTCAAGTAAACGACAATAATCTGTGATCGAAGAATATTTAAATTACCTGTAATCGTAATTATGATTTGGGAAAAAGGTAATAAGTATAACAGCCTCTAATGATATAAATCTGTATAACAAATATTGTTTTATTTGTTTTTCAGCAATGTTTATCATTTGGATGACGATGTTGATTTCTTCTGTGGCGTCTACCGGACAAAATTGCTCATCAAGCAAGACATGTACATGTACTCCATATGCAGGAAAGTGGTTTGCTAATTGTGAAAATCTCGGTTTAATAATAGCTCCGGATTTTAATATTGATATTATTGGAATAAATTTGGCAAAAAACAAATTCACACAAGTTCCTCAAAATCTCCCAAGAACTCTTTCATATTTGGATTTATCCTACAATAACTTGAACAGACTTGATGCGATCTCCTTAAGGAGATATACGTTTCTGAGGAATTTTAGTATTTCGCACAACAATCTCAGAGAAATTCCAGTGGGAACCTTTCTTGAAAACTTAAGAATGGAATACCTTGATATCTCAAATAATATAATACTCACTCTGGAAGTGATCTATAACCTTACAAGGGATCTGCAAAATTCAAACATTAAATATCTAAATGCTGAAAAACTGCATTGTACTTATGGGGTAAGTCATATCATAAAAGTTTATCACGTGGTGAATCTAAAACACACATCGCTTGAGGAATTCAATTTAGCTTCAAATAGGATTCAGACTTTGGAAACAGGAGTTCTAACTTCTTTACCAAAATCACTCCGTGTTCTAAATTTGGCGGATAATATGTTAAGTTTTGGATTTTACCTCATGGAATTTGCGGTTATGCGCAATTTAGAGGTGCTCAATATCAGTTTACAAAATTTTTCTCATCAAATTAGAATGAGTGTTGACTTTTTCAAAAACTGTAATGACACAAGAAGTCCTCCTCGGGTGCACGTGGCTGGAGTCAATCAAAATGCAATTGAAAATTATCAGTCATACAAAGACACGTCATACACGTATGAAATGATATCAGTCTCTCAAGAATTCTATTCGAATTTCAGATGGTCTCAAGGAACATTCGACAACTTTACCCTCTTTATTCCTCCAAATCTCACAAGCTTATTTTGGCATGACTGTTTATACAAATTGTACATTCCAAAACTTCCAGTTGATGCAAATAACAAAATGTCGAAAATATTGATGCAAAGAAATATCATTTACAATCTTATCGGCCCAGTGACGGGAATGAAGCATGTTCAATACTTCGACCTGTCTGGTAATTTCTGTGGATATATTTCAAAAGAGTTTTTAAGATATTTTACCGGTTTAAAATATTTAAATCTTTCAAATAATGCACTGGGACCTTCATTTGAAAACGACGAATTTGGCGAGATTCTAGCGCACCAACGTAAGTTACTATCCCTAGATTTGTCTTTAAATAGAATTGGTCGACTTCCCAGAAAGGTTTTGAAACACAACCACAGAATTAAGAACCTGAATATAAGCTATAATTCACTGGGTAGTTTTAATGTATGGATTGAACATATGAGACGTTTGTCTGTTCTAGACTTATCACACAACCAGTTGTCAGGTCTTGGACCATCGACAAGAAAAGCGTTGAATTTGATTTCAATATCTAAGGAAATCCAAGTCAATATACTAGGTAACCAATTGAAATGCACTTGCGAAAATCTTGAATTTCTCAACTGGATTCACAAATCAACAAACTTGAAATTTGTAGAGTTTGAGAATTACACATGTGCATTCGGTAATTCGTCAAGTTTTTCATTAAAGTCTCTCGATATTATATTGTCCAGTTTAGAGAAGAGGTGTTCTTCTTACACATTAATCATAGTAAGTATGACTTCTCTGATCATTGTTGCAATGACCTTAACCGTAAGTCGCATTGTGTATAGGTACAGATGGAAACTTCGGTACATGTACTACGTTGCAAAACAGAATTATCGGGGCAATACAATAGTGAGTAACGATGCAAGTAATAAACACAGCATGTACCGATTTGACGCTTTTGTCTCGTATGCAGAAAGCGACAGAACTGAAGTCATAAACCTCGTCAAAAGTCTTGAAGAAGCGTTTGATCTAAAACTATGCATACATCACCGAGATTTCATTCCTGGAACGGACATAGCTGATAACATTACCAATGCTATTCATTCTAGCAGACGAACGGTTTGCATAATGACGTCACATTTTCTAAATTCATACTGGTGCATGTTTGAATTAAAAATGGCGCAAATGGAAGCGATTTATTCACGTAACGGCAAAAATATCTTGATACTGGTAGTCCTAGAAAAGAGTTCAATGCAGAAGTTTCCCCTTCATCTGATGGACCTTATTGAGAGTCAGTCATTTCTGGAGTATCCACAGGGAGAGGAGGAAGTTATCGCTTTCCAATCCAAACTCGGGAAATCTTTAAAGGCGTACGAGTGAAAACGATTGTTATAAAAAATAACAATATCTGAATGAATGTTTTGATTTTTAATCTATGAATAGACATAGAAGCATTTTTTATTTGTGACCCAGGAGCAAACTCAACATTTTAATGTTTAAAACATATCGTCATGAGGTTCTCAAAAATAATGTTTTACACTATCGATCACATATGTATATGTACCAGTGTATCCAGTACTCAGAAAATTTACACTTCTTTATCATTTGAAATTCATTTTGCACACAACTGTTTCAATAGCATAGTTTTGTTTACCAATATTATTTATTTTACTTTGTGACTGTGCTTTCACAAGATCAGCAATTTTGGAACTCTTACTATGATCTGACTAACGTTTTTGAAAGTTTTTGATCATCTTTATTACAGACAATCCATTACTCAGTATCTCACAGATTGACTCGTCTAAATCTGATATTAAATAAATATGGCCATTTGCAATGTGCACACACATGCAAGGCTCGTTTTTTGAACACATTCCATGTTTCCTCCAGCATTTTGAGAGTTTTCTGGAGTTTTCCAGAGTACAACGAAAGCTATTCTTAGTTGGTCTCTGTGACGTTCTATGACGTAATCATTTTGTCCTTTTCAATGAGTACGGCCTTTCCTCTCAATGAAGCATAATATTAATTCATGCTTTAGAATGAAACGAAGTAACAATTCTTAATATGAATGTTTAGAATTTTCTCTGTGCAATTTTAAATAGGATATGACTACAGATAATTTCAGCGTATAAATCATAAACAAAATTTTGACCTGCTCAAAGATCCGATTTTCGTCATCTAAAAATTCAAATAATTTGGAAATACATCAAGATATTTTAAAATTTCTTACAGCATTTCAATTGAATTTTTTGTTCAAACATTGCCACAAAATTAAGATACGATATGTTGTTTTGTAAAAATGTTACGAGTGCATTCCTAAACTCTCCTAACGACCCTTGTATACATTACAAGAGGCTTCGGTAAAGATTGTAGCTCTAGTGGTTTGTACTTATAACAAAGAAATAGAAAAGTGGCAGAAGGGATTTGAAACTTTACCAGAGCAATAAATAGAATAATTATCCTTGATAAAGTCTCTTTATGCGGCAAGATTGCAAAAAGACTACAACCGAAGAAGTACCTTGTCATAAAATTTTACAGAAATTTTAATATTAGTAACCATGGCAACATCATTCATAAAAAAAGAAAATTTTGTATCTCAGTGTATCTACTTGCATGCCACATTATATTATATTCAGATTAAAACTGAATTTGGAGTAGCATTTTTAAAGAATTTCACAGAATTTTCTATTTTTGAAACAATGGCAACACCGTTCATTGAAATTAAAAACCGATATAGGGAATTATTTATCTTAATTCGTCTTGTGTGCTAAGTTATATAGACCGTTTCACGGTAACTGCGTAACTGCTCTTTTGCAGGGCAAAATGATATAGTTTGGTGAAATATGACGTAAAAGTAATTGTTAAATATACGTCATTTAATTGTCTGTCAACAAAAACTTCGCCAAACGTTATTATTTTGTCCTGCGAAAGTATAGTACCGCAGTTATCGTGAAGGGGCTAATTGAAATCAGACTAAAATTGTAGCAGGAGTACCTGCATACCACATTTTATTATATTCAGACTAAACTGTATTTGGAGTAGCATTTTTTAAGTATTTCACGGTATTTCAAACGTGACATTTGTGGGGCTTTTAAATAAGTCAAGAAATCCCATGACAGGACCGTTTTAAAATGTTAAGCACATATTAAATTAGTAAGATAAAAAATACGAAAAAAATTCAATGACAGGAATTTTTTCAGCTAAAGGTCCTGTCCCACCTTAAATCTCTGCAAATGACTCCAAGTATGTACGAATCAGATCGATTTATACAATGTGCATGCTATTGTTGGTAAACCTCGTACATGTTTTACAATTGAATTTCAGTCTGGATTCTGATGTAATACTTTATGTTATGTCTTAGGAAAAATTAAATACAATGCCAGATGAAAAGAATGATTTATATTGTAAGTGTCATTAAACTGCTAAACGTCGATCAGAATAAGTCAGCGTAAAAGTTATGATAAGCAAAAACAAAGTTACCATAAATAAAATTGCTTAGCGGAAAACTTGAGTGGTGTGTACGTGCGCACGCTATTTGCAACTAAGGGGAACATGCGTATTGCATCATTACTGCCAATCAAATCCGAGGCAAAATATGCGTATAATTTTAAGGATGGAATTAATCCTCAACACTAAAAACGGTTTAAGAGCATGTCTACGAGAAAACCATGCAAGAGGTTATGGGAGCAAGGTTCTCAGATCAACTTCAAGTTTTGTGTGTAAATTTCTTCTATAATATGAAATATTTTGCCACAAAATTTTTTTCAGTGTGGTCTCACTTAAGGGGTTAAATCGACACTGTTACTAAAAATAGAATTCTTGGTCCTTGCGCAGGGTGAAAACAGGAATTTTATAGGATTTTATATTTAAAAATTCAGCATTTTACCTGATAATGATGTAAAATATCCATATATGGTTGAAAGTAACAAGATACACTTGTTTCGGAAAAATTTTCATAATCACAAACTGTGCCCTCGTTTAAGTGCAAAAAGGTCACAAATCTGGCATATTTCCAGATTTTTTAAAACTAGTGAAAATATTCACTTTTCAAAAACCTATACCTCAGAAAGTGACGCTTAGAATCAACTCAATCTCATACCAATTATTAGACAACATGTCTGTCTACATTATATAAAAAATCTGTCTTTGGACTCTCAAATATTTTGCTGTACTTTTTACTTAAAGTTGGACATTTTTTTGGTGAATTTTCAAATTTTCTTATCCTTGAACTTCAGCAAGGAGTTATTTAGCTGATTTAAATATTTTCAAAAATTTAAATTTTGCTTTTGAAAAATACCAGTATATTGTACATTTTTGTTTCCAATCAATAATTATTTCTTAGGGGGTTAAATGGGTTTATTTGGGGGGGGGGGGGGGTACCAGAATTGTATTATTTTACATTTTCTTTAAGCAGGGTGATATTCACATACTGCTTAGTACCTGTTTGTCAATCAGTAGACCAAGTGTGTTCTCCCTTATCTTAAAAAAAACAAAACATTTGCTTGATAGATAATAAACATCGTACACTGGTACCTACTAATAAGTTGATGACCCCTTTTAATTTGGAGTTCACAAGGTCAAAGGTCAAGGGTAATAATTCTTGATATACCCATATGTAGATTTTAATCATTCAAAATCTTGAGGATCCATTGCTTGACAGACATCAAATTAAGCACACTGGTTTCTTGAAAAGTAGAGGACCCCTTTAGATTTTGAGATCACAATGTCAAAGGTCAAGGGTCAAACTGAACAAAAAGGAATATCAGAGCCATTATCTTGACAGACATATTGTCATGGCAACAAACTCAAAATGAATGAACACCAAGTTTTAAAAATCAACAAATAAGAACATTTATTATTTTTAATTTCATTGCAGATTAAAATTTGAATATTACTCAATAACTAAGTACATTCAACAACAAAAAAATTACAATGCTTGACTGCTTCCTGATATTTTATATTCACTTCCAAAATTAAAATGACCTTGAAATTTTGTATGCTTGAAAAAAATCTACTTGCTTAAGTATATATCATGGGCATGGTTCTAAATTAAGGTAAGATTTAATAGAAAAAATCACAGTTTCCCCAAATCATATTCTGAATTATTTGCTATACCTGTATACAGGAAATTAGTCTTTATAATAGTGTTATATTTGGTAAAACTAAAGCACTGTTGACCTTGAACTTTGATCTTTTCTAACATAACAAGCACTTAAAATTTACTCTGAATTTTTGTGTATTCCTGCAAGTGAAACCTTATACATATTAAATATCAAGATATTAACAATGTTTAAGTACATGTATCAATAAAATGGTATAAGTTAACATATATGAAATACCCTGAAATTTTGGCTACTACACAAGCTTCTTCAATCATAAACTGTCTTTTTTTTTCTTCATGTTTTGTACACCATTTGGGTTGATCTTGAGGTCTCTAGCTTTCAAAATCTATAAGGTGTATCCAAACTATTCTGTTCAGTATGACCCCATTTTCTTCCTATGTAGCATCCAACAACTTCTGGAGAAAATTTAACAAGCACTGAAATTTCCACTTCTGGTTTAAAGAACAACTGGACTGTCTCCAAATACACAAAAGTAGTACTCAAAGTATGTACCTGTGAAAAAGGACAGTTTTCAAATTCAATTGAAATAAACCATACTAGACATATTCTAAGATTTTTAAAATAAATGTCATGTTTATGATAATGCTACATTTATATTTATCAATTGAAGAAAATGTTATTTAATGACTTGGGTAAAATTCTTCACAAATTCTTCTGGCTATCTTTGAAGAAAACAAGAGCTTCATATATCATTGAAATAAAGTAACAGAGTAGGGAAAAATGCATGTGGCAAATCGACAGACAGTCGAGGCAATTCCTATCCATGTACTATAGAATACAGTTATGAAATAGGTATGAGGGAAATATCAAACTTATGATTCCCTGAGGGAGGAAACTATTTCCCGGAGGAAATAGTTTTCTGCCGAGGGGAACTATAAATTTGCTATTTCCTGAGTTCCCATTCCATAACTTTTTTATTATACCGAAACAATGATAGGCGATTTAAATTTTCCTAACCAGATCATATTCCAACATTTAAAAAAAAAACTGTAGAGGCATAATTACAAATGCATGCGGTTTAACACATTGTATGATAAGTTAAGCATCATGTACTTAAACAATTAAATTGTTTTTAAAAAGTATTTTCACTGACATTTCGAAAAATTATTGTTGTCTTCATTTTGGTAGAATTCAAGTATGATTTTGACACCGCACATCGAAATGTTTTGACATCATAGCTTCATTGCTAATAACATGACGTCACAGGCTCTAGATTCCTAGCTTGAACGCTCCACCCACTGAACACTTTGTTCAAGATTACTAATAAATATTCATGAGGGAGTAGTCCCAGGGAATAGCTCTGATTTTCCAGGGAGTAGTCTTCAGATGAGGGCAATAGTCACTTCTCAGGGAAATAGAGATAATGGTAAATAATGGTATTAATTTATACAGAGTAATTACAGTAGAGGTATAATAATATAACATATCTTTACCATTTTCTCAGCAGTGGTAAGTAATTGGTAATGCTAATGCTGCATCTGCATTGTCTTTCCTCTTCTTATTTCTGGATTCTGTTCACAAAACTACCTTGGAAACCCTATGTAGTAATTCTTTATCATCCCCAAAACTGACTAGAAAAAGTATCTGTAAGACAAGACAATCAAAACATCATATGAAAAAATTAGCAAAAAGATGGCACATCAAAACAAAATAGGCCTGTTTATAGCTCCACAGCTGAAAATCCCATTGTAAAGCCCAGCCCTAACCAGGGAAGAATTTGAATAATCTGAAATTGCAAGATCAAGAAATATAAGAATGAAAGGAAATATTCTTTACAAAGTATAATTTCCCAGACTTATATTTATAATATTAGTTATGTTTTAAACACAAACCTGTCAAGGAACACATGGTGACCTTTAATTTGAAAAGTGACTGCACTAGTATTTGACAACTCTTTTTCCTTTAATCATATATGAAAAGCCGAAAATCATAACTGTAGCCATCTTTATAACATTTCATAGATATCTGAAAAAAATATTTTGTTTAATGAGATTCTTTATAATCATGCAGCCCACATATGAGGCAATAATGGTGATTTAATTGACAGTGAAGACCCACCTATCCAATTCTTAATGTACCCTATTAGTAAACAGTCAACTTTTCATTCCCTCTTCATCACCCCACAAAGGCTACTTATGCTATTTATAATTCTGCAGATGTGAATATTTTGCAATATTGTTGAATTTATACAGATATTTTTATTGCTACATTTACAAGTACCAACCTTGAAATTTCTCTTGACAGGTTTGCTAGGTATATATTCAGGTCCAATACAATCACTAGATTTAGCTACGTAGGTATTTTTTTATAGAAATAAATTACTTTGGTAGCTAAATAAAGCTACTTCAGGTAGGTAAATACAGCTACATGTAACTAAGTAGGTAAATCAAGCTACGTATGTAGCTAAATCTAGTGATTGTACCAGACCTGATAAAGTCTTGTCCATAATCAAGTCCCCATTAAAATTGTTTATTTTTTTTTTTTTTTTTACATATCAATACGCCTTTTTATAAGGTACATAGTATTATAAACCAAGATCCACCTACCTGTTTCTTTTTCAAATTCAAGTATCATCATCACTACATCGGTCTTGCTACCAAATGAATGTTTGCTGTCAGAATCATATTCATCAAAATCAGAGCCAGAATCTGAAGACTCGTTGACAATTCACGCACCTGAATCTTTTTCTGAGGACGTACAAAACGGTAACAAAGCGCCTCAGGATGCCATAATGTTTACACGTTGTTACGGAACCGTACATCGATCCCGATGGTTTTTCATAATTTTTTATGCATTTTATACATAGGCCACTAGTATATACGTAACAAATTACATTCACAGGAGGGACAATTTTCTTCAAATCACACATATTTATGCCTAAAACGATTAGATGACAGACATCTGTTTATAAACTTCGTAATCATAATAATTATCTACCTTTTCTTCAGAAGAGTGCAACAGGGGAGATAATTCAAACAAAATCTAAATAAATAGTAAAATACGTTGTTTTTCACAGGAAAAAAATTATTTAAAGCTTTTATAAAATTAAAAATAATTTTCATTGTTTATATTTGTAAATATTTTACACCAAAATTCATTAAAATTACTGTTAAAAGTAAAACTTATAAAATCATGAATTTTTCCATCATTTGAATTTGAGGTAATTTCAATACGATATAACTTTTCTGTCCTTGAGAGTCCAAAGGTGGATTTTACATATTGCTGGGATAATATTCTAGAGATTCTTAAATGCACAAAATTCTGAAAAAAGAAGCGTCACTTTCCAAGAAATGTATCCCTGAATATTAACAAAAAATTAACCATTATCATTTCTTGGCACCATGCCAATATTTGTGCCCTCGGGACAGCCTTCTATATAGGGGTTTTACAAAAAAATTGATTCCAACTTAATTTTACGACTTAGTTCTATGAGAAAACATTGCCCTTTTATTAATATATTGTTTTTTTCTTTTTTACTTTTAAATATTGAAATTGTCATTTTTACACCAACTTTTTTGCATTTTCCCTTGAATATTGACCAAAATGAATTATTGGCTGTTACTAAAAATAGAAACAACCGATGCAAAAATAAACAACATATTTCTGACTCTCAATGGGTGTCCTTTAAGTTAATAATAAAAATTAGTTTGTTCTTGAGAGTGCCTACCAGAGCATTTTTCTATATATCTGCATGGTTTTCTCGTAGACAGGCTCTTAAATTTAATTACATGTATTTTCCTGTTTTTTTTAACTTATCGTCATCATTATCATAATTATTTGGTTGTTATGTATTTTTAAAATCTCGTTCAGTCTCTTTGTTTTGCTGGCTCACAAATTTTGGAATACATTTAAATCCCAAATTTGTACAAACGCCTAAGCTACACTTCAAACAGTTTACAAGTATAATTTTTTCTTTAACAAAAGATGTAAGTGTAAAAGCTAAATGCGTGTTTTACATTTTGCGTATGATTAATAGATATCGATATTTACAAATGTTTGAGAGTTAGGGCTATATACAAGCTTGCGACTTATAAGAAAGAACATTGAAGGGAACCCCATCCCACCCCACCGCCCTCCCTGCTAATTTCCTCAGTATCGGGATGATTCTCAATACAGTTTTAGAATAACTTGATCAAATTTATGTGTTAAGCCTGAAATCCTATTGACGGTGAATTTCCTAAAACTAAAAATACTGGAGCTAATATTTTGTCATTCGCGTTAATTTGTTGTCGCTGCATGTTAATTCTCATGTAGGAGGAAATTTTATAAATACCGTTCATTCTGACTTTGTGATCAGAATATGAATTTTACAATACTAGTGAAAATAAGTTGCTGGTCATCCTAGAATGTAATTAGTTAAATAATGAATAAAATTAAATACTGCATCTATGTCACAATTTAAATCTTGCATAATCCAAATGTAAATATATTGATACTTGTACTGTAAACGTGACTACGTCCAACATATAACGTTGTAGACATAAATAACGCCATAAACGCAACATTTTAACAATATATAAGCAATCTTTGAAATTATTGAGCAAAAAATCTAGCGAGAAGATATATTGATTTTTTAAAATATTTTTGATGTAACCTCTTCTTGACATTTTGAAATTACTTACTAAATCGTCTACGTCTTTAAAAAGTTATCTAACCTTTTTAAAAGAAACCATGTACACAAAATAGGCTTTAAAACGTCATTTTCCCATAAGTTTCAATATTAAATCGTAAAAAAAGTACTAAACACTATTCCACGATTACAGAACATAGCACTAAAACTACGTAGGCAAATTTAATAACAATTGCAGATAATACGTCGTAAATTCTAAGGAACATTTTATCAATTTTTCAGGATATGTTTTCTCGTAAGAATTTTTATGCAGTAAACCCGCAACCTACCTTGAATAATTCAGACAACTCTAATGTAAAAAACTAAGTACTGATCTGTTGCCACCTTAAATGAGTACTTATTCTTAAAAATGAGTAAACAATAATTGAAAACTCAAAATAATTCATAAATTGTCTTCACACAAATATTGAGAATGTCTAATTTATAAACACAAAAGCAAAAACAAAAATATCCAGCTTGATGTCCTACATAAATGCATTGCAAAACAATAAATTTGAAGAATCAGAGAAAAAATGCATACTGACTTAAGTACAATAAAATTTTCTTGTAAACCAAAAAATGAAATTAATAAAAATTAATTGTCATGGATCAACATGTCGGGGAGGAATTTTCATAAACCATATCTTACATATCACAACAATAAAATAATTATAAATGAAATACAAAGTTAGCAGCTTAAATGAGAAAATAATTTTTATCTTCAACACAGAACATAGAATTTTAGCCTCATAAGTTGATATAATGTTATGTACATGGTTATTTTTTTTAACTATTAAGAGACACTCGTTTACTTATCTTATTATTTGCACAATTTTGGTCTCAAGTTTAACTTCATTACAAATAATACAATTTGTTGCATAGTTCTCTGCTGCAGGGGAAATAAAGAACGTTTGTCTGTCTGTAACTTTATAAGACAAAATATAGAGTATAGTTTAGAGAAGTGTGATGTTTCGTCGCAAACGTGGTGGTGAACAAATATTTCTGCAGGGCATTCCAAAAGTAAACGGATATCACTGATGTCTGAAAAATAAAACTTCACAGAATTATTTCGCATTTACCTTCTCTTTCTTTGTACGTTTGATCACTAATTATTTTGTTTTATCCAATTTTGTGTTAGCTTACTTTAAAACAAGCAAGAACTAATTTAGATTAAAAGCTTACAAGGAAGCCACTAGAGGGTGCAGAAGTAGGACATTTTCCAGAATTTCTTTAATTCTGGTGGAATTTCATCATATTTGAGATACCTTTCTCTTCGGAAAACATAAAGCACAAGCTTGCCTATCTGAGATTTTTACATATACACTGCATCTGTTATTAGTGTATAAGAGATAAAAATTTGGTAGACAGGCAAGCTTGTGCTCTATGTTTTCCAAAACAAAATGTTCTGTGAAATTTGACGAAAATTTGCATAAAAATGAGAAAATTCGAAAATTGATCTATTTCCTGCCCTCACTGTGACCTCTATATATCGCACATCTTAGAACCAATACTCATTTTGTGGCAGGGGTGACAACAGGTTTTTATGGATAAACTGTTGGATCATTTTCGAAGACAATCAAAATTGGGGGGCAAATACTGGTTTTACCCTATCTTGTCCTTTTTCGCTTTGTTTAAATAGTAACGACGTAGTCCCTGTATTCATACGCCAGACAGACTTTAGTGACTAGGTCTTGTGTGTTATGTGTATTTATCACTAATTTCATAATGCTTTTTATTAGGGTCAAACAAAGTACTAGTAAATGTAAATATTTTTATATAGCAAACAGTTGTCCTGTGCAATAAATTTTAAATGTTTATATAACAATATTATAAATGAGAAAACTTATTAAAAGGTAAAGACAAACAAAAAGATATACTAGCTTATATTATGTAGAAGAAACTAGAACTCAGGTTAACTTACCACTTCAAATATATTTCAAGACTCAGCTGCTGTTCCAGACAGAAAATCATCTCGTCTTCTGATGAGTTCATCTCTCTCTTTCCTCAATTCCTCTTCCATCTGTATCTCCTCTCTCTATTTACACAAATAAATATTAAAATTAAGGAAATTTATTTTTAGTCTTGACACCTTATGATATTGAAATAACAAACTGATGGTATTTAATTTAATTCAACGAATACTGTGTATTAAAACTTTCTATTCGAGGGATTTTTTTTATCTACTAAACAAAAATGCATATCTTTATATAACATATGTATACCTCTCTGGACGTAACTTTAAGTTTCTTGAGTTCTTGAATTTTCTTTAATCTTTCATTTAGTTTTGTAAGTTTCTTTAGATATTCCTCATTTGTTATGACGTCACTGGAAACCTGTCGATGTTGTGCACCTCTGAAGAATAAACCAGATGATTTTGTTGTCCCGAACGTCTCTCTAGAGGTTGCATCAATGTTATCCTGTGAGACATCGAAAGCTTTTGGTCCTGACCAAGTGAAGCCCAGAAAAAAGAAAACTTTTTTGTTCCACAATGCTCTATTACTGATAGGAAGAGACGTAGGTATTGTTACATGGTTAACATTACCTAACGAACTTTTTAACGGCACTAATACTTCTATTCCGTTTGTTTTCAGGGTTCCCTGTATTCTTTGAAGTCTACTTCTGACAGCTGGTTTTTGCCATATAGAATCTCCACTGCGCAAATATCGAGATCCATATTCATCAATGAAAAGGTCCTCATAATACACGATTTCTGCAAATTTCAGACCTTTGCCTAAATAAAAGAATGTTGTTTCCCGTCTCTGATAAGGATTTATATCATCTTTTTGGCGTGTATACTTTTTGTTAAATGCAAGTTTCCACTTTTTTATTGCATCTTGAACTTGCTGCAAAGGACACATTTCATTTGCATAAACAGTTCTGTTTTCCGTTTGCCAATGAAAGAGAACTAAAAATAAATATGCCTCTAAATATATATGATTTTCCTTTTGTGAATTTGCCATATCATATGCTTGACTGGTCCACCTGAGGATATTTCTGAATTCTTTTTCTTGGCCTTGTCTATTCAGGTTTTTGATAAAACAAGCTCCAATTAAAGTTATCAAATCATGTAAAGAAATACAATGAGGCATAACTTTTTCAAGAATCAAACTTTCTATTGTTTGCAATGTTTGTCTTCCATCATCATCAGTTCGAAGATCAATCATATCTTTTAATGAGCTGCCGCTTAATTTTCGAATTCTTCGTCTTACAAATTCTATAGTTTGTTCTTCAGAGTCAAGAGCTGGTATGTCATTTGACTCTTCACCAAAATATTTGTCAAGATTTTCCTTTAGATCAAATAACATTTTTCTTTGATCAGGCATGCTTGATAGTAAGCCATTGTATTGCCAGGATTTTAGCTGCGAAATCTTTTCGTCTATGCATCTCATGACAAAACTTGTTCTGGCATAAAAGCTTTTGATGAAAGTAACAACCCACGGAAAGGAGCTTTGGAATGATTTAGGAACAAAATGTGGTTCAACTAAAAATCTTCGCAGTATCTCCATGTTATTTGTATCCGGGTAAAAATGTAGCAAATCAAGAAATGTGATAGTTGTTACAACTTCTGCAAAGTAGCCATTGTCATTATTTTTTGAGTAGTATTCTTTTTCACATGTTATTTGTTCCATTTTAAACTTTTCTATTGCTCCATAAACTAAACTAACAGCTCGCAGCACCTCTTCAGCACTAAGTATTGTACCATTCTGGGAACACTCCATATACATTTCCTTTAATCTGGTTTTGAAGATTTGACCGTAGGTGTCCCAAAGAAAAGAATTGTCGGGTTTTAATCCAGTAGCAATTTTAGCAAAATGTTCTGCCTTTTCCCAGTTTTTGTAGGTATAGTAAAGACGCGCAACCTGTTGTGCAACCATTGGATCTTTCAATAACTCAAAACCATACTCCAAAACCTGACCAGCCCTGTCTGCGTCTTCATGGGCAAGAATATCCATTATTAGTGGAGAAAATTTTTCCCTCTTTTGATCATCTAGTGATTGTCTTTTCTTGAGAATGTCTCGTACAACTTTATGTAAAACTTCCAGAGATTTGTTGTAGCATTGAAACATTGGTGATTTTAGAAAATCAAGCATCATTTTGCTAGTTTTCCATTTCAATTTATCTTGAATATATGTAAAAATTTCTTTAGCAAAAAGTTGATTTATAATATAAAGACCCTTCAGTTGGCCACTGTATTTCACATTAGCACTTCGGTTGATAAGTACTAAAAGTGACTGTGTGAGATGAACCTCCCAGCCTTTTCTTCTCATTTGAGAGACAATGCCATAACTCGATACTGTAGCAGATTGTTGCGATGCAAGTCCTGTGTCAGACATGAGTAAATCAAAAGCACTGACTGGGACAGGCTGGAAGTCAATGTCAAAACTGTTCATTAGCGAAAGATATCTAAGCAGACATTTCTCCTCTTCATTGTCAATATTGTCAACAAATTGTTTAATTATTTGTTCTCTGTAATGGGGGTTAAAGTTTTCTTTAAGAAGATTGAAAGACAATAGCAGTTGAGGATCTACGCCATTTTCATGCAAAAATTGTTTCTGGAGTTTGTCTCCCTTCTCTTGGAACCAGTCAAGTTCATTTTTCTCAAGTTCATGTCGAAGTTGAACTGATCCTTTGTTTACAAATGATGGTAAGTTTGGTTTTCTAATGCACAGGAGTAGCATACAAAACACTTGACATCTATCTTCATTTCTTCTTGATGCAATTCTAGCTCTGTTTTCAAGTTGAGCACAGAGTGTAATGACTTTTTCTTCATCGCTATTATCGATTAGAATAATAGGTGGTTTGGGTGTTTCTGATTCTTCGTAATTTCTAAGCTTCTCTATCTGTTCACATGTGAGCTCTGAAATTTTCTTCACAACAGCACATCTATACTCGTCTTTCAAATCCCATAGGACCTGCATTGCTGAAGTTGTTCCTCCTGCACCCGGTTGATGAAACAATTTTACTATGCTAACTTTGTTTTCGTCTTCATTTTCCGATTTTGAGCATGCAAGTTTTACCTTTTCTAGTAAGTTCGGGTGAATAGATCTTTTTACGACATGGTCTTCCCCAAACGAAAGATTCCACCATGTTACTGGCGCCCCTTTAAAGAAGTCTTCTTCTACAATCTTTCTTTGTTCTTTTCTTTTTTCCCTGTCATTCATTATTTCAGTGTCATTTTCACATTCATTCGCACTCAAGATTGATAAATCAAAAAGTTCACTCTTAAACTTTTCCCTCAAGTTACACAAAGGCCCTTTTGCTGTTGGGATTAAACATTTGGATTGTTTTTTCGCTCCTGTGACCGTTTTTATCATCAAATTAACATGTTTCCAGGGAATGCCTATAATGCATCGATATTCCAGTGCTTTTTTGTCCACACATTGACGATGAAGAAGTTCCTTTTTCCAGTGACTTGCAATTTCTTCACTTTCCGCCAAAAGTAGCCAATGCCCCTTGAACTTTGAAATTATTTCCTCTGCTGCATCTAAAAGAATGTCATAATTTTTCGAAAACAGTAAAAATATAACAATAGCTCTCCCTGGAGGTATTTCATCACTGAAGAACCTCACTGCTTCTTTGTAGCCTTCTATCCTCTCTTGTTTCCAAGCAAGCCTTTTTAATGGTTCCTTTAGTAACGGACTGTATCCATTACAAAATATCCATGGCTTAATTGAAGATGTCCTCAAATCATCCAACATATTACTGAAACTCTCTTTCTTGAATTCTTGAGAGTTTTTGTCAAAAGCATCTGTTGTTAATACCTTTAGGCATTGTTCTTGATCATTTTCAACAAACTGATACATTCCCTTGCTGTTTTCGTCGCAAAAATCAAAATCAAACACAACACTTGGATCAAGGTCATTCAAAAATTCGAAATTTTCCGGTACAAATTCATCACTCAAATTGCTGTCCAAAGGACTCAACAAAAGAACTGGATGTATTTCTTCCTTTACAGTTTCGAAGCCTGCAGAATACAAGTCAAGGAACTTCTGGCGTAGATTTTCTTTGAATTCAATATCAACTGGTTTCTCTTCATGAGTTTTCCTTTCCGTACTTATCTTTGATTTAATGGCCATGTAGTTCCGGATATCTTCAGCTGTTCCCATAATAGGTTCATTTGATCCTTTCTTAAATCTAAAAAATGCGGCCTTTTTCTTTGCATCATCGCCTTCGTTTTGTCGCAAGAAAAACACATTCTCTTCAGTAAAAATTGTACATGGAACGACATCTATCTCAACAACAAACAAATTGTCTTTGGAAAATTCCTGCATATCTTTTGCAAAAGTTACCGGAATGAATTGTGGCTGACGTATACATTTGCAGACAGTTTCGAAATCATCTTCGTAAAAAAATAATCTCAGTATATGGTAAAATCTTCTTATTATACGTTTTTTATCAACGGGAAAGCCAACAACAGATCCCTTGTAGTCCTCTTTAGTTTCAAAAGGAGCAACCCCAAAATGAATTGTTCCATTTCTGCGCTCATTTAGACATGCAGCAATGAAGGGCATGGCATTTGTTGCAATCCAATCAGGTATTTGTTGTTCGTCTATTTTCTCATTAATAAAGTAATGCAGGGGAATAAGGAGACTCTGGAGTGGAACATCGTCTGGAATCAATGCAGAATTCCACAAGTAGCTGTTGGATTCCTTTGGTTTGCATCCAAATTTTCTGAACGTTTCCCTATATTTTTCTGCTTTCAGTTGTCCTTGATTTGATTTTTCTTCACCAGGCTCTGAGTCAATACCTTCAACATTTTCTTCATAAATCAGTTCACCTTTTTCTTCCTTGTATTTCAGATCATCTCGAATCAAAATTATCTTTTTCCTTTTGCCAAATGTTAAACTTGGAAACAGTTCTACTGTTTCGTTCATTTTCAGATTCATGAAAATTTCTCCATTTACTTCTTCTTCAATAAGTATGTCCAGTAATGTGAGATCTAGTTGATGTTCTTTAAAGTATGGTTTTAAAACTTTACAAAGATCTTGAGAAGTTCTCTGGTGTAATGGTTGCTGTTTCTTGTTATTGTTTGGGGTCAGATGTGCCAAATCTTCATTTTAAGTAAAAAATATATATATAATTTTAAAATAGTAAAACGAAAGACAATATATATTTTTAAGAGTTTCTTATTAGATACATTACCTTTCCAAATGCACATTTTGGAGATCTTAAATAATTATCAGAGATCAAAAAACAGCATTTTTACCCAAAACATTTTTAAAAATATTTTGTTCTCGTCAGATATGTACTTTTATTTTTGAAAAGAAATATGATAAAACAGATTTTACGTATAATTAATAAGTAGAAACACAATAAAACGAAAGAAATTTTGTATACAATGTATATGTACCTTGGTATAGTCTAATTAATCTCATGATTAACTATATATTGAACCACAACTAACTGGATTAGTGTTTGAACATTGCTACTGATCGTGACAAAATTAACACCTTACAATTCCCCAATTTAAGTCAGTAGAAATAAGTACTAATCATCTTCAAAACGTTTATATCAAGCAGCAACAATCAATTTATCGGGAATAATAGCTAGGATATAATCCTTTACCTTTACAATCTTCACCTTCAAAGGAACCTTTTTCACCATCTCTTCTCTTCAAATACTGAAAGGCTGGCTTGGTAGTACTTCTGAAATAACTTCATCTTATGAAATATAATGAAGGAAAATATTTCTGATATCTCTATCTACTTTATTAAAGTTTTTTAACTATAGTTAGTTGGTCAGATAGTTTGATTTACTTTACCTCAGTAATTTGTGAGAATTGAAATAAATTTAGAATCTACAAGCTATTATCTAATTACAATTTGATTCAGATTTTAATTGTGTAGGAACAGAAAGAATACCATAGGCCACAACACTTGTTACTATTTGTCCTGCGCTCTTCATCGATGAAAATTATTTCAACAATATTCCCATCGCCAAAAAAAAATTCCCAGTTTAATACGTTTTTTTTTTATTTTTAAGATCAAAATAAAAGAGAAAATGAGTTATTAAAATCTTAAATGTTGTTGATAATTGCAAAATAATTTTCTGATATCAGAAATTCAAAATTTTGGTATAAAAAAATCTCGTTTATTTTCTGCTATCAGACGATGATTTTTTTTTAACTATCAAAAAATCATTTTGAAATATCAGAAAATACCATAAAAATATTAAAAAGGACCCCCATAAATTACAGGATTTTGAACAAGTATTAATATAGCTGTCACTTGTAATAAATTATCAAATGATTTCATTATCGTTTTTGCTAAATATCTTCCTGTTTAATGTGATTCCTAATTTAAAGAAATTGGAATCTCTTAAGCCAGGAAGTGTTGTTCCAAGTTTTTCTGAAGTTTATTGACAGTGAGTGTTTCCATAAATATAGTCAAAAATGATAAGTTAAAAAAAGACACTGCCTAAGTTATAGGACAACGGGCGAATGTTCATACTAGTTCGTTTGAGATATAAACATAATTAGACTTTATTGTTAAAAAAAATCTTTACATACCTGTTCCCTTTCTTCTTCTTTTTCTTTGCTTTCGGAAAAACTTTGGAAAGAACCATTTCAATTGTAGTCCAGTTGCCTTGCCAATCTTTCCCTGATGCTAAAAACCCAAACTCTACTTCTCGTTGAATTTCTTGCATTGAAATAGGAGCTGACATATCATCTGTGTCTAGGTATGCTTTTGTCAGAATACTTTCAATCTTGTTTTCAATTTCTCCTTGCTCTACATAAGTATATACAGATAATATTTATTTGATTGTTATTATGCTGTACAAGAAAAAAAAATTATGTTCCTTTGTTCTCCTGCCAAACAACTGAGCTTGTTTTCTGTTAAAAGCAGGCAAAAACAAATAACATCACGTAAAAGTGAAATATGTCATTTATTAAAATAATAAAATGACGGAAAAGTAAAACACAGTTAACAAAATGGGGGTCAGAAAAAGGGGGACTCTAGAGTACAACAAATGAAGTACTTAATGACTGAAACAAAGAACTCAATTTGCATGGTTTCTTCAAAACAAAATCATATTCTAAATTGATCGACTCACTGACTTGATTTGAATGAAATAAAAATATAATACTTATAGACGCCATTACCTTTCTCTATCAGGCTTTGGTCAACTTCTGTTTCTTTTATTGCTTTTGCCAGAAATTCATGGCCACTTTGCTCTAAAGCTATACAGAATGGTTGGAGACTGTTTTGTTTGTTTTGTATCACTCAAAGGAGACGTTCAACTTTTTCAGCTGATGTTTGCTCCAACAAAATGCGTTCGTAATCATCTGTGCAGATGATGTTAAACTGAATTAGATGATCCAATAGTTCGCTGGACTTCCCATGTAGAGTTATATGTTCCTTCAGAGAGACATAATTAAGGCGTATCTTGTGTTTTTCTTCACTGTTCATTCTGAGAGAACAATGAATAATGTTACCTGCAAAAAAAAATCTCAGTAAAATTATTGCTTAGACAGTCATTCTTCGATTTCGATTCCGTCATATACAACATGTAAATACCAGTACATTGACTGACTGAGAACCAGTGATTGGTATACTCTTACTGAATGGCGGCGGTTATAGCTTAGGGTATTCAAACACACTTGAATGGTAAAACTATTCCCAGAAACAGCTTAAAATATTCGCAAACTGACAATTTAGGTGCCGTTCAGAATGAAAGCGTCGACCCAGATTTTTTAACGAAGTATAAAGTAAGATATTTACCTAACCGACGTTCCTTTGTCTCGACGCGACTACTTCCTCCCTCTTTTTCTCTGGAAATTAAAACGAAAGTGCATTGATTTTTTCCATTTTAAATATCATGTGCTAATGCTGTATTTTGAATTCCTGACTTATAGATGAAAATTTCTTTGACAAAATGTTTCAACTTCAAGGCAATTTCTGTAAACTTCATAAATCTGATTGTTTCAACTGAAATCATACCTCAGCCTTTTCCGTTAAGTTTTTAAAAAGGGGAATTTTAATAGAGAACCCCAATCACATAAAGAAATGCCAAGGAAAACTCCAGAGAGAAGCAGACGTCACACGTGTTGAATATTTCATCTTTATAGCAGAAAAACGAAAAAAAAAATATTTGGCGGTCTTATTTTAATGAGCATTTGAAAAAAAGGAAATCGGGGTATCAAGTGGCCATTTAGGCACTTCAGTAAATTCAAGTGTTTCAGAGACATGAATTGCCTGTTATCTTACTTTTAAGCAAAAACATTGTGTTTTTAAGAGGTGCCTTGTTTGTTTCGTATTATAAATCTTCATAATTCTTTAGTCTTTATTAAAATGTTTTTGACCAGATCCATTTCAATTATAACCTGTTTTCTTTTTGTTTCGTGACTAAGTTTTCAAGTCTAAATGATATCTTTATAGATCCTACTGGCTATCTACATGTAGAATCGATCAGTTGGATAACATTGTATAGAATAATTTAAAAGAAGTTAACAGTAAGACTAATCATAACTTCTGTGTTTTGAGAAAAAAGATTTTAAGGATCTTTTCCGATATCTCTTACCACTTATGCAATTCGGAAATCGCCTATATACATTTGTATTTCGGTCTTGTTCTAGCCCCCTCTCCATGTAATCTTGTACTCTTCGTTGCTACTGGTTTATCCGTCTGTGAAAAAGATTTTTAAAAGATAACATTAAATTTTCATTTATTCCTAGTTATTTTACTTTGAACAATCTCAAATCCCATTTATCCAAAGATACTTTTTTGCAATTCGTTTATTTGCATTTAGAAACTAGAGGTACTGTGAGTAATAAACCCACGCCTCTCATGTATGGTTATAAATTTAAAGGCAATTTCATGATCCTATAAATAAGTGTCAAATCAAAAATTAAAAAAATAGGAGGTATGCGATGGAATTATGTATAATGAAGAATCTATGAAAGAAACATTAAATTTTATTCAGCGGTATGGGAGGAGTTGCGGGTTAGAGATGGGTACCTTCAAAACTGCCGTGCTTATGTTTTACTCTGGGAAATATATGTCCGATCAAAAAGTGAAACAAGATGTGCACAATGGCAATATGTAACAAAGATTCTGTTAAAGACTCAACAAAATTCATTTATATAGTGGTAAAAGAGGAGTTGCGGATAAGAGATGTGTACCCCAAAGCGTAAAGGACGGACAGACAGGCGTACAGACATACCGATAACTATATACCCTCCCGCTTTTCAAGCGGGCAAGGGGGGGGGTATATAACAAGAGGCCCATGGGCCACATCGTTCACCTGAGCAATATGTCTAGAAAAAACAGAAATCAGTTTATTATTGAAAAGTTTAAACCCAATAGTGGTCCCAATCCTTAAAAAGGAAAGGGTATGATTTGAACAAAATTGAATCTGCACTAACTAAGGATGCATGCATATTTTTTTGACTACCTGTGGCTTTATTGCCCTTTACATTTGAACTTACACTGTGGCCCCGCCCTACCCCCAGGGGTCACGACTTGAACAAAATTGAATCTACACTACCTGAGAATGCTTCCACATGAATAGGACTAATCATGGCTTTGCTATTCTTGAAAAGATTTTTAAAGATTTTTCCTATAGAATAGAATTTATTTCCAGTCATGGTCCCACTGGGGGCATAACACAGATACAAGCATAATATCATATAAAATAGAGACAATGTACACAATAAAAAGATTAAACCAATTTTACCATGTTGGTGTGCAAATAATTATAAATACAATGTAGTAATGTTCAAAAATCATACACAATATTTTGATATGAATTGACTTATTAATCTTAAGATTTACTCATTTTCATTTGTAAAAAGCCATACTAGCTTCTCATTTATGAACATAATAAAAAGATGTATTTCTATTTTTATATATTTCTATGTAAAACTTTGATCGGCCATTCTGGCCCTGACCTATCCCCAGGGGTCATGATTTGAACAAACCTGAATCTCCAATACCTGAGGATGCTTCCATAAAAATATGATCATTCATGCCTTTGCTATTCTTGAGAAGAAGATTTTTATAGAATTTCCCTATATATTTCTATGTAAAATTTTGATCGGCCATTGTGGCCCTGCCCTACCTCCAGGGGTCATGATTTGAACAAAGCTGAATCTACACTACCTGAGGATGCTTCCATATAAATATGATCATTCATATTCTTGAGGATGCTTCCCTAAAAGTTTCATCTTTCCATGCAAAGTGGTTCTTGAGAAGAAGATTTTTAAAGAATTTTCCTATATATTTCTATGTTAATCTTTGATCGGCCATTGTGCCCCCCCCCCCTCTACCTCCGGGGGTCATGATTTGAACAAATTGAATCTACACTACCTAAGGATGCTTCCCTATAACTTTCATCTTTCCTGGCAAGGTGGTTCTTGAGAAGAAGATTTTTAAAACATACCATCAAATTTTCACTATTTCTCAATTAACTCCCTTTAAATAAGGGCGTGGCCCTTCATTTGAACAAACTTGAATCCCCTTCACCTAAAGATACGTTGTGCCAAGTTTGGTTGAAATTGGCACAGTGGTTCTTAAATTGAGAAGAAGTCGAAAATGTGAAAAGTTAACGACGACGACGACAACGACAGACAACGGACAAATTTTGATCAGAAAAGCTCACTTGAGCCTTCGGTTCAGGTGAGCTAAAAAAAAACTCAGAAGTATTCACAAGTGAGCAAACTTCTGGGAATATCTAGTGATTTCAGAGAGGTGCATATACTATCGTATTTACCGTAAAACTGATCCTTGTAATTTTTGATTTATTTTTATCGTTATTCTAAATTGTAATTCTTTTTATTTTTAGAATTATTAATTAAAAATATTTATTAACTTTTTATCTATTAATTGCGAAATGATGTGTATGATTTAAGAGCATACATTGAAATGACGCCTGTCCATTCCCCTCTCTGCATCATTTTTTAAAAACAAGAGGCCCATGGGCCACATCGCACACCTGAGCACTGTGGCTAGGAAAAAGTAGCAATTGGTTTATTATTGAAAAGTTTAAATCCAAAAATAGTCCCATGACCAATCATGGCTTTGCTATTCTTGAGAAGATGATTTTTTTCAGAATTTTCCCATATATTTCTATGTAAAACTGTGGTCGGCCATTTTAGCTCCGCCCTACCCCCGGGGGTCATGATTTGAACAAACTTGAATCTACACTAGCTGAGGATACTTCCATATAAATATGATCAATTATGGCTTTGCTATTATTAAGAAGAAGATTTTTAAAAGAATCTTCCTATATATTTCTATGTAAAATTGTGAACAAATTTGTCTGCTTCCATATAAATATGATTTTGGCTTTGCCCTTTTAAAGAATTTTCCCTACCCCTGGGGGTCATGATTTGAACAAACTTGAATCTTCACTACTTGAGGATGCTTCCATATAAATATGATCAATCATAGCTTTTATATTTAAAGAATTTTTCTATATATTTCTATGTAAAACTGTGGTCTGCCATTGTGGCCCCGCCCTACCCCCGGGGGTCATGATTTGAACACACTTGAATCTACACTTCCTGAGGATGCTTCCATATAAATATGATCAATCATGGCTTTGCTATTCTTGAGAAGAAGATTTAATTTAAAGAATTTTCCTATATATTTCTATGTAAAACTTTGGTCGGCCATTTTGGCCTCGCCCTACCCCCGGGAGTCATGATTTGAACTTGAATCTACACTACCTGAGGATGCTTTCATATAAATATGATCATTAATGCCTTTGCTATTCTTGAGATGATTTTTTAAGAATTTTCCTATAATTTTCTATGTAAAACTTTGGTCGGCCATTTTGGCCCCGCCCTACCCCCGGGGGTCATGATTTGAACAAACTTGAATCTACACTACCTGAGGATGTTTCCACGTAAGTTTCATCTTTCCTGGCACAGTGGTTCTTGAGAAGAAGATTTTTAAAACATACCACCAAATTTTCATTAATTCCCAATTATCTCCCCTTGAATGAGGGCGTGGCCCTTCATTTGAACAAACTTGAATCCCCCTAACCCAAGGATGCTTTGTGGCAAGTTTGGTTGAAATTGGCCCAGCGGTTCTTGAGAAGAAGTCGAAAATGTGAAAAGTTTACAGACGGACAGACAGACAGACAGACGGACGATGGACAAAATGTGATCAGAAAAGCTCCTTGAGCTTTCAGCTCAGGTAAGCTAAAAATGATGTAGACGTTTTTGCGTACAAAGTAACGAACGTACCCCTGGCTAAGCGCTTGGAAAATAAACTGCTCAAGGCATAAGGCAACCAATTT